CCAACAGGACTTCCTCACACTCAACCTAGCCACCCCCCCAGGTTTATCTCCAACAGCCCCGCTCCATTGGTCGTGGTGGTGGGCTGGCAGTCATCCACAGAGCAGATATCCCTGTCAAACAGCTGCTTGTGACGAATAAAATCTCACTTGAGTGCATTGCCTTCTCAGTGGCTGCCCCTTCAAAGCAGCAGGTCGTCCTCATTTACCGCCCCCCCAAACCTTCCACCTTATTCATGTCTGAGTTGTCTGAGCTTCTCACCTCAATCTGCTCCATGTCCCCATCCACACTACTGCTAGGTGATTTTAACATCCACGTGGACTCCAGCACCTGCACCTTTGCCGCTGAGTTTCTGTCACTATTGGAGTGCTTTAACATCACGCAGCATGTCCAAGGTCCCACCCACACTAAGGGCCACACCTTGCGTGTCTTCACTTGCAGAGAGAAGCAATCAGCTTCATGGACTGCCTTGCATCACTCCAATAGTGTCCAGAGCTGGCTGCCATTACAAGTAGTGGTTTGGGATTGTAGCAATGCAGTTGCAGTTGTTTTGCAATTTACTTGATATATGTTGCAATGCAGGCATGTGTTCAATTGTTTATAGCCTGCATTTATTTTGTGATTAGACTTTTATAAATCATTTAACTAAGAGTGAAACACTTGATGTGTTATCTTTATGTGTGTGTGTGTGTATGTTCTGAAATGCACTTCAAATTATCACTTTTCTCTTGATTTCCCTTTGATATTTTCTTTAGGTTACTTGCAGCTAATTGATTGATTGTTTTATGGGTATTCTGTGTTGAGATGGTGCAAATATTTTTAATACATATCTAATATCTTTCTAATACATTTCTCTTGTGTTGTTCTTTCACATAAGACTATAGAAGTGTAAAAAATAGGCTACGTCAGATTATTCCAAGGGACATACATGTCTGTGGGTTTTCTTCGGAAGTTTTTCCTTGTACGATGTGAGGGTCTAAGGACAGAGGGTCTAAGGACAGAGGGTCTAAGGACAGAGGGTCTAAGGACAGAGGGTGTCGTATTGTCATACTGATATTTCGTACAAACTGTAAAGTCCACTGAGACAAATGTAACATTTGTGATATTGGGCTATAAATAAACATTGATTGATTGATTGATTGATGTCAAATCAAGTCAATTTTTATTTATATAACCAAAAATCACAAATCAGAATGAGGGGGTCCTTGGTGTATTCTCTATCTTGTAAGGGGTCCTTGGTGTATTCTCTATCTTGTAAGGGGTCCTTGGTGTATTCTCTATCTTGTAAGGGGTCCTTGGCTGAAAAACAATTGAGAACCTCTGCTCTACAGCTTTCAATGTAACTTGATATGATCGTCACGCATCGATCTCCAATGACATCATTTCATTGTTTGCCTGTCTGAGCATTTTAATTGGGCTCCTCATAGAAAATAAATTGCACAGTATTCTTAATTTCCCGAAAATCTCCAAAACTGTATTTGCTGCCGGACAAACTACAGCTAATGTTTTCACCCAAAAAGGGGATCATGATGTGGAGGGAGAGTACTTCAGGGTTCATACACTTTTTCACCAATGATTTTCAATGACTTCTCCAGGACTTCTCCAGGACCGTTACCTAATTTTCCATGACCAAAAAAAGTACTCTTTCTCTGCGGTTCCACTGAAAATGGTTTATTTGAACATGGAACAGGAACGGTGCCTTGCTCAGGGACACCTCGGTAGCACTTGGTCTTTCGGGGACTTGAACTGGTGACCTTCCAGTTACCAAGCCAAGTCCCTATGGACTTCGCCACCACCGCCCAATGGAGTGAGCTTACGTTTCACTTTTGATTGCATAATAAAGCCCAGCGCAACACCTTCGTCACACATGTTGCCACTTGTTTGTACCATGTTCAGGCGATTTGAAATCTGTTCTAGAAAAACGATGTGATTTTGGATATTTGTGGAGTTAGGTGGTCCGCGAGTGTTTTTTTATTTAAGTCGTCCTTGGTTTGACAAAGTTTGAGAAACACTGCGCTAAAGCAACTCAAATCTCTCACCAGCAAAACACCTCATCAGTTAAATGCCATTTTTTACGTTTCATTACTAAACGATACAGTATTTATTATCGTTATAGTATTACTATTTCGGCGATTAGATAAAATATAAATTATATTTGATGCAACTTTAGTTACATTTCCATGACTTTTCCAAAACTTTGGGAAAAATATTGTTTTCCAGGGCCTGGAATTAGCATTTTGAATTTCCATGACTTTTCCAGGGCCTGGAATTAGCATTTTGAATTTCCATGACTTTTCCAGGGCCTGGAATTAGCATTTTGAATTTCCATGACTTTTCCAGGGCCTGGAATTAGCATTTTGAATTTCCATGACTTTTCCAGGGCCTGGAATTAGCATTTTGAATTTCCATGACTTTTCCAGGTTTTTAATGACGTAAGAACCCTGTGGAACACACGCATACAAAGAGCATTATTACAAACCACCGGAGAGGTCATGTCTTTTTGTGCAGGGTTTGTTTGTCTAAAGCAGGGGTGCCCAATACGTCGATCGCGATCGACCGGTCAAAGGTAGTGTGGGTAGATCGCATGGCATTGAAAAAAACGAAGAAAATAAACAAACATTTAATTTCTTCTTCTTTTTTTGAAAGTTAGCCGACATCCTTACTACGTACGGGTAAGCCAGTCTGACTTTTTTTTATTGTGCCATATGGGTTCATGCAGTTATGAGGGGGCCTCACCTCCTCATCTGAAGCGCATATGCGGCACCAATATTATACGCTTATGCAGCGCAATTTATCCGTCGTTTAGGCCACTAGCACCCCCCCCCCACGCTCACGACACAGATTGGGCAGGGGCGGACCTGTAGGTAGATCATTTGGGTGTGGTCATTTTAAAAGTAGCTCCCAAGCTGAAAAAGTGTGGGCACCCCTGGTCTAAAGGATTAATAAGAACAACGTTTGGCCCAATTTGCACGAAATGAAAGCAGCATTTGTGCCGGATACAGGTATTATTTTTAACTCAACACAGAGAAACAGAGCATTCGGCCTTGATGGAGGTCTAAGCTCGAACATCACATGTGAGTCAAATCACTGCCCTGCTTCCTCTTCCAGTCATTTATCTGAAAGTTCTTTCATGCATCTCAAACCGGAGCAGTGACTGTAAAAGTGTCCTTGTTAAATCCTGCGCTGACATGCAGAGGAAATAAAGCTCCTGGGGCTCCTACAGGGGGGGGGGGGGGGTCTCATAAAAGCCAGCCATCTTGGAACAAACAGTCTCTGTTGGGTGCAGTCAGGTGATTTCAGAGAGCGTATCACCAACAGTGTTTCCAGTAGATACCAGAATACATGTGAGTGCAGAGAGCTGTTTATCTGGGTCAATAAACAGTTTGTCTGTTACTCTGGGGAGGGGTGTGTGTGTGTGTGTGTGTGTGTGTGTGTGTGTGTGTGTGTGTGTGTGTGTGTGTGTGTGTGTGTGTGTGTGTGGTGCACAAGCAGATTTTTAATATGGCTTTTAACTGAATTGCATTTTATTCCAGTTTAATTACTGTTTTATTCCTTATTATTATTATATTCAAATGTAATACTTATTTTGGTCCTTTTTTATTATTAATATGTATTTATTTTTGTTCTAATTAAATTATTCTTTTTATTTATTTTTATTATTAAAATATATATATTTATTTTTATTAGGGCCGGGACTCGATTAAAAAAATTAATCTAATTAATTAGAGGCTTTGTAATTAATTAATCGAAATTAATCGCATTTTTAATCGCATAAATATTTGACCTAAGAACAGTGAGAAGCAATTTTTTTCACATGGATTTGAGTATACCATTAGGCGCATTCACACCGCAGTACTTTTCCCACAAAGGTTCATGAGAATTTAGTTCATGAGAACTCTTTGAACCTGGGGGAGGATTAGGCAAATTAAGCCGCTGACGTCACTTGTTCTTCTTCTGCTTTGGGTTTACTGGCAGGCCGCAAACCACTTCACGGCGTATACTGCCGCCCAAAGTCCCCGGCCGGAAGTCCCCGAAGTTGGGGAAGGCTTCAGTAGAAGCTGCTGGGACTCCCAGCAGCTTCTACTGAAGCCTTCCGAGTACATCGCCAGAACGCCGACACCTCCTCATCTCCACCGCTCCCATGTTTTATTTTGTGTTGCCATAAGTTAGTCTCTCTGCGTTTCTGCGCTGGGCTAATGCTAATAATGCTAATGCGAGGATATGGCGACAATGGCGGCTTCACAAAACTTTTTGGGAGTTTTACGGGGCGTGGTTTGCAATCCGCCCAGCCAATCAGACATATAGCTCTCTTCTCACAAGAGAGCCGTACGAAAGTCCCTGCTCTCTAGCAGGGACTTTCGTGGGGTGAACTAATTTTAGTACCGGCTCTTTTTGGTGTGAACGCGATAAAAGAGGCTAACGTCCACGCTAGCTTCCACGCTAGCTGCTATATGTTTTGCATTGAGGTGATACTTGAGGCTTGATGTGCTGCGGTGATATGCGAATTCCTTTTTGCATAATTTGCACACAACCGTGCTCTTATCGACGCTTCCATCCGTCCGTTTTTTAAAACAACATTTCCCACTGTTGTTCACTGTGGTTTGTTGTTGTCTGAAGTCATGAACGTTAGTTGGTGCTCCAGTATAATCGGTACGCCTGAAACTCATCCAGTGAGAAACGTTCCGCGGTGCAAAAATAAGTGCGATTAAAATGCGTTAATTTTTTTAACGCGTTAATTAAGATTAATTAATTACACAAAAATTAACGCGTTAAAGTCCCGGCCCTAATTTTTATGTATCATTTTAATTGTAATTGTATTATTCCTTTTTAATATTATTTTGTCTTTTACTCTGGGGAGAGATGTGTGTGTGTGTGTGTCTGTGTGTGTGTGTGTGCCTGCGTGTGTGTGTGTGTGTGTGTGTGTGTGTGTGTGTGTGTGTGTGTGTGTCTGCGTGTGTGTGTGTGTGTGTGTGTGAGTGTATGTCTGCGTGTGTGTGTGTACCTGGATAAAGGAGCAGGATGCTGATCGTTCAGAGACCTGTCGCTGCTCGAGGGGCTCTGAGGGGCTTCCAGTCGTTTGTTCTCTTTGTCCGACTCTCCTGAGGGCTGGTACATTGGCCTCTGTGGAGAAACACATGACAGAAATAACGTTTATTTTCTTCTTACATTCAACTTTATTCATTAATTTCACTCATGCTGGGTCTTAAATTGGGTACTTCTGTACTTAGACTTGCTGTTTTGAGTGCATACGTGCGTTCTTATGTGCCAAAGTAGGGCACAATGAGTTTTAAGTAGAGGGCTTGGGCAGTTATAACGGTGACGAGAACGAAAGTCTGGACACGTCTCACACTCAACGACCGCCATCTAGGCTTTTTGAAGAAGATGTGGCTCCTGTCAACACAGCACTATATGGATAAAAGGCATACATCTCCCAATTTGGGATAAATAAAGTTTCTAATCCATCCATCCATCCATCCATCAACTATCCATCCATCCATCCATTAGGGGTGTAACGGTACACGTACCCGTACCGAACTTCGGTTCGGTACGGGTGTGTACCGAACGAATATAACGTTAAACGTAAAAAATTGAGAACGTGAACAACTTTTTGGAAGTAATCTCAGGTGCTGCGTCGCAGCATTCAGAGTAATTTGCTCACATTGGGTTCAACGCGTCATGGAGCGAGCAGGTCATTTCATTGGATGAGAGGCATACTATGAGAGCTGGTCAGAGGGTAGTCAGTAATTTGAGGAACCAGGGCTCGACATTAAGTAGGGGTGCACCGAATGGGAAATTCTTGGCCGAAACCGATACCGAAAATAGGAAACAGTTGGCCGAAAACCGAATGCCGAAAGGCCGAAAATGATTAATAGAAATATATATATATAATGTATACATTTTTTACCAATGTTGTTCAGCTACCTGATTATGGAAATAGACATGATTATGGCAAAACTTAACTTAAATAATAATCACTATTATGGGTCCATAAAACATTTATTCAGCACTTTTGAATGCATACAGTACATTTATATATGTCATGTATTATTGCTAAAAAACATTATATCGCAGTCTTAGTGTCGCCAACTCGTTTCTAATATGCAAGACAACAAATGCGTCTATGATGTATTTTCGATCAGACGAGATCTCTCTCCCGTCTGTGTGCGAGGGGGCGGGGCAGTTTACACACACGCAGCTGCTACATGCAGCGGAGCACACTGCGGAGATGGCGGAGAGAACGCGCTCCGAGGTGTGGTTAAACTTTACCCGTCTCGATGTGGAGAATACTTGTTACCATAAGTGCAATAAGAGTTTAGCATGTAAGCACGAGCAATTTGTCTAAACATTTAGCAAAAGTGCACCGCATGCAGACGGAGGAATGTACCGGGTTCGACTGTCTTTCTAGCAGCTCTGTAGCTCCATCACGAGTAACGTTTCCACGTCAGGTGTTATGTATGCTAGCAGCAACACACGGAGTTAACTACATTATACAAACATGGGTTAATGATTAGAGGAAACTGAGTTATTTAGTTTGTTAAAATTTCAGCTATTCTGTTTACAGTCTGTCATCAGATTATTTAATACGTTTTGTTAAAGGCTCAGGGCAATCTCGATGACAAAGGTCAATGTCGTCGTCGTCGTCGTCGTACCTCCCCCCTCCCCCCCTCTGTGAGCCAGCCGCGAGCATGGTCGCCGCGTCTTTATTACGTCATCACAACAACAACACGTTAGGTTACCAACGGAAGCCTGTTCTGACATTCGGTCGAAAGCCGAAAGGGCCTTTTTAAACCATTTTCGGCCGATAATTTTCGGTGGCCGAATATTCGGTGCATCCCTAACATTAAGGACTGCCCGATGGCCCGGGGCCATCTAGTATTTAGCTCGGGCAATGAAGCCTCACCTGCTGGTTGCCCGATCGGGCAATCTATTATGCCAGTATCATGCAGCTCGTGGATCCAGTAATGAGTGAGCCGACAGTAAAACTAAACATATCTATAACTAGTTTAGGTAGTTTGAGAGGTCATTAAAATAGCTACGTGTGATATTCTAACCTGAAGTGTGTGTTTTGTCCGCTCACCGCTGCATGTGATTATGCAGAGCTGCGTGTCGACTCGTCAGCAGCAGCTGATCTCTCTCTCCCGTCAGATTAGACTTCACTCGCGTTTATGTCCATATCGATCAGATCAAGCTAGTTCTAGCTCATGATATAACTACCTGCTTATCAAAAGACACCTAAACAATAAGTGTCGCTATGCAACCGGGTGAGGCCACAAAGTATAGCGCAGCATTATGCATTTGTTTACATGCCCATCGGAACCTCGAGGCATTACCAACAGATCAACGCACAATCAACCCATACAGGACATCTCTTTCTCCACATTAAGTGTTAGACATTAGAATTGAGTATTCTTGTCTGTCACATACACTTCTTGTCTGTCACATACTCTTCTTGTCTGTCACATACTCTTCTTGTCTGTCACATAAGTGGCGCAACTGAAGCGGTATTGCGCTAAAGGGAAATTATTTTGACCGAAGAGATTTAGATTTGCCGGCTAACGTCGCCATTTTGTGTGCTTCGCGGATGCGCTCGGCTCCTCTCGACTGCTGCTCGGGTCTGCTCGGTCAGCTTCCGGATGAGGAGGCATTCGTTCGACCAACTTACAGTAGATAACATTACAAACATTTTTAACATAATAGTGTAAATAACGTTTGTTTTGGCAGTTATAACTGAATGTAATGTTTTCTACTCTTTTACATCTGGGAAGGCATTTGCCTTCATCAGATGGAAAGTGTCTTGACCAACAACTTAAAAGAGTGTGGCACTCTGACCCACTCAACCCTGTTACTGATATTATCAGAATAAAGCATATTAATTTCAGTTATCTTTCTTGCATTAGATATCCAAGTTTGTCCTTGCCTTGAAAGTAGCATTACATGCTACATCTAGCAATACTTCCTGAGGTTAAAGCTAAAATTATCATTGATTTTCAACCCTGTTACTATAATTAGAGTAACGGGTCATTCTTCATTGGAAAATATTAATTTGATGCCTAGCTGGGCAAATCACTTTTTTTGATGGTTTATTATCTGTTTTTCCTAAATACATAAAAAAACATTATAAAATAAAAGGTTCATTTTTCAAAAATGTTGGTGTCTAAATTGTCCTCCAATTCTGGAATGACCCTTAAGTATTTATTATAGCTATGCAGGGCATGCAAGCGAGCAAACACAAACAAGAACAAACAAACAAGTGAAATGAAGAATAAAATTGAAATTGTACAATATAATATTGTGGTGGTTCATCTTATAATTCAGTCTAGAGAATGCACCAGGCAGCATCTAAGACCTGCAAACATCTACACGTTCTAGGGGGAGGCCCCCCAAACCCTTCGTGCGTCATTTCGTCCGCGCGCATTTTTCAGGGCAATCTCTATTGGGCTCAGGGCCATCTGTAAATTAGCTTAGATGGCCCTGTGCCATCTCCCAAAATCCTTAATGTCATGCACTGGGAACTGTCGAAAATTAATGGCGAATGCAGATAAAGTTGAGCTCGAAAATCCTCCAGCATCATTGAAGTCTCCGGTTTGGGAACATTTTGGTTTCGCAGTTACGTACAAGGATGACGGACAAAGACAGGTGGACCCAACCAAAGCTGTTTGTCGGCATTGTTCAACTAACATTGGTTACGCGGCTGGCAATACATCAAACTTGCACACTCTTGAAAAGGCATCACCCGAACGTGAATATCACCGGTACCAAAAGAAAAAAGACTGAAGTGCAAACCCAACTCCCGCTAGCATGTAAGCCTCCATCACTCGCAGAGAGTTCAGACCGAGCCAAAGCTATTACAAACGCCAAATATCCTTATGCTGCCATGTTAGCAAAGCGCTACCTGGCTATATCTGCTACCTCTGTCCCTAGAGAGAGGGTGTTCTCCACAGCAGGAGACATTGCTAGTGCCAGCAGATCTGCCCTTTCGGCAAGCAATGTGGACAAGTTCATCTTTCTTTAGAACAACATGAAAATAGAATGACAAGCAAGTCATAATGTCAAACTGGCTGCTCAGGGTACTAGTACAGTTCAAATACAGATTATTTCAGTTCATCGAAATGCTGCACCTTAATGTTTATTTTATTATATTTTGTATTTATTTGAGTGAATACATTATTCACAGTTTAATAATAATAAAAAAATATATATATATTAGTGCTGTCAAAATTATCGCGTTAACGGCGGCAATTAATTTTTTGAATTAATTGCGTTAAAATATTTAACGCATTTAACGCATGTGCAGAATGGCCCGCCCCATACGTGCCACCAGTGGCAGCGCCAGGGTATGGCTGGGGTAGGCTACACCCATACCAATAAATGGCTTAGCCCCACCATGAAAAATGATGTTAAAGGAAGCAAAATAAAGTCTGCCAACTCGCGCGGAGTAAATTGCACAGACAGCAGTTAGTAAGATTGATTTCAGTAGCCACGGTTTTGAAAACTTTTGTCACGTAGTGATCGTCTTCTCAATAGAACATCTTTGATAACGGCGTGGTGTTGTTGCAGGAAGTCCTGACGGAGAATACTTTTGCTGTAGTACAGGGGTGCACATAACTGGTACGCAGGTTATGTGGGTAATCTGAAATGCGTACCGTCACTTGTGTCACAAAGCGCATTTGCGTACCGACGTACTTGTGAAGCTTTTCCAGAAGGCGGTTAGATCACCGGACGACAGAGTCGGTCTCCGTGTGCACAGACAGGGCTGCTGTTAACGTCGGTCTGTACAACGGAACTGTGCCAAAACTACGCCAACCGACTGCGGAGGGAGACTCCCCCCTTCACTGGAGAACTGCACTAAAACAGCTGATCACAACGTTCACACTCTGTGGTCACGAAGTACTCCACTAGCCGCCCCCCCCCCCTCTGTCGACTTTCCTGAAGTACTCCACTAGCCGCCCCCCCCCCTCTGTCGACTTACTACGTACTCCCCCGTTGATAGAAATCAACACGTAATGAATTAAGACCCCACGGTTTGATGATTGATAGGTGTGTGGGTTGTCTTTCATTTTGACACGCAGAAAAACGTTATAATAAACATACATACTGTATGTTAAATGGATATATCCGCCTTCTTTCATTTATCTTTCCATTCCCAACAATATACATAAAGAAATGGCATATTTTGGACATAGTTCGAATGGTGATTAATCATGATTAATTAATTTTTAAGCTGTGATTAATCTGATTACAATTTGTAATCGTTTGACAGCCCTAATATATATATGTGTGTTTTGTTTTGTGAAAAAAAATTCTGCTGTACCGAAAACGTACCGAACCGTGACCAAAAAACCGAGGTACGTACCGAACCGAAATGTTTGTGAACCGTTACACCCCTACCATCTATCCATCCATCTATCCATCCATCTATCCATCCATCTATCCATCTATCCATCTATCTATCCATCTATCCATCTATCTATCTATCCATCCATCTATCCATCCATCTATCCATCTATCCATCTATCTATCCATCTATCCATCTATCTATCTATCCATCCATCTATCCATCCATCTATCCATCCATCTATCTATCTATCTATCCATCTATCCATCTATCTATCCATCTATCCATCTATCTATCTATCCATCCATCTATCCATCTATCTATCTATCCATCTATCCATCTATCCATCCATCTATCCATCTATCCATCTATCTATCCATCCATCTATCCATCCATCTATCCATCTATCTATCCATCTATCCATCTATCTATCTATCCATCCATCTATCCATCCATCTATCCATCTATCCATCTATCTATCTATCCATCCATCCATCTATCCATCCATCTATCCATCCAACCATCCATCTATCCATCTATCCATCCATCTATCCATCCATCTATCCGTCCATCCATCTATCTATCTATCCATCCATCCATCTATCCATCCATCCATCCATCTATCCATCCATCCATCCATCCATCTATCTATCTATCTATCTATCTATCTATCCATCTATCTATATATCTATCCATCTATCCATCCATCCATCTATCTATCCATCCATCTATCCATCTATCTATCTATATATCTATCCATCTATCTATCCATCCATCTATCCATCCATCTATCCATCTATCTATCTATTTATCTATCTATGTTCTTTTAAACTATTTAAGTGGCGTATCACTATACTGGCAATCAAACATATGCCAGCATTAATTGTTTGGGTTATTAAAGCCGCCTCTAATGAGTTTGTACCGCAAACAGTGCTAGAAAATCACGCAGGTAGGGTCAAAGTTGAGACACAGCATCAGTTTTATTCTACCTAATAAAGTTTCCCGATTTAAATAAGGTTATTATTGTAGTGTATATTTAGATAATTTACAGATATATATCTTTCACGGTCAATGTGCATATACCTTAGTTTTAAGTTATTTTCCATTTTGAAACATTTCACATTTGTTTATTTTCTACTCTTTTTCCTTTTCACATGATGTGCGATGCCATGCTACAGTTCAGAAAAACTGTTATTGAAGCTCAAGCCGGTGACGAGTGATATTTTTCTAACACATATGTACTGTACCATGTGAATAGACTCAGCAGCAGGCTGCGTCTGCGTCTCCTCTCCCAGCCGGCTGTCCTCCAGCAGCAGTTTGTCGTATGTCTCCTGCAGTCGTCTTTGCACAGGAGCCTCAGGAGCCTCAGCAGTTATCACTGCCTCTCTCTGCTTCCTGTAGAGCTCCTTTAGTCTCTGGTTCCTCCTCTCCGCCTCCTCCTTCATCGCCCTCTTCTCCTCCGCCTGCCTCCTCTTCCTCTCCTCCTGCTGCCGGCTGATGTACTGCCGCACAGAGTCTGCGTCGTAGTGTCTCTTTTTGGGGTCCTGTGTTTGGTGTGAGGTGGGGATGGGGCTGGCGCTGCGGCAGCCTCTCGAGGAACTTCCTGTTGCAGCAGTGGCCCCCCAAGCAGAAACCGGAGTCCTGGTTCGAGAGCCAGACCCCCCTCTTCCTCTCCGTGCACTCCCCCCTCCTCGAGCTCTCTGCCGGGCTCTTTCCTCCCGCTCTGCCGCTCTGCACTCCAGCTGCAGGTCGTCGAGGATCCCCTGGATGTCAGCTGACAGGAGGTCTGTACCGACACCCGTATTCTGGGCCTTCTCCTGGGGGGTGGAGGTGGCTGTGCAGCGGCTTTTTGATTTAAATCCAGCGCTGGGTCTCTCTGAGCTGCTGGGGCGGTGCCGGGGGTTTGATTCTGAGCGCGGTTCTGAACTGGAGCGGTGACGGGAAGCTGGGGGATTATTAGAGAAAGAAAATCAAACGGATACAGTTAGTTATTGGTAATGGAGTGACCAACAGCAGCGCACACGTACAGAGAGTCACCTGCTAACGAACCAACTTAAAAAGTCTGCTAAACTCTGCACTCACTGACCACGAATGTCATCTTATAGTTGTCTCTCTCACCCCCCTCCCCTCTCCGCTCAGTTTCTTCCCCTCCGCTACCGGCCTCATCAACAAGGCCCCCCCCACTGACTTTCTGTCCACCCCAAAAACATTATGCATGTGAACATCTTGTTTTTGTCTTTTCTTAATACTGTGAGCCATGTTCATGCTCAACTATCCGATTGCTTTTTGCACACGTCTGCACAGCCCTCCACTTTACATGACATGTTAGACGCTTTTCTCCAAAGCGACTTACACACTCAATTCTGTGGACAATCCCCACAGGAGCACTTTGGGGTGAAGAGTCTCAGGGACACAACGACATGCTGACTGCAGTGGGGTTTGAACCTGTGCCCCCCTGACCCCAACACCAACACACAACCCACTGCGCCACACGCCTCCCTTTAAAAAATAATAGATTGTAGCTTGCTCATTAAGTGTTTTAGTTTTTTACAGTTATTTGTAAAGGTACATTTAAATTTGATGTAAATACTTTAGCATCCTTTTTTAATGCTAAATAGTTTCTTAAAAATACTTATTTTGTATTATCTTTGTATATTTCTTTTTTCTTTTGTATTAACTACTTTTTTTATTGTTTATGCTCTCACCACCAGAAAGCAAAGCAAGTTGCTTGTATGTGTAAACGTACCTGGCAATTGACTTGACTCTGAGATGTAATTGTGATTGCTTTGACCCATTTGTGCGCCGCTTGTAGCTCGTAGTGCCGTGAGTGTTCTTGCATGACTTCATATTGTTTGTACGCTGCATTGTTTGTTATTGTGTTGTCTTTGTTCTGACCTGCCACGGGACTACTGTGCAAATTCACTAAATGCTATAATCTGTTACGCTTCATCCAACACTTACAAGGTCCCTTTCAAACACATCAAATTAATAATAAATATAAAAAGCATTGAAAATGTCTAATTGTCTCCATCTATATCCACACTGCCTTCTTTTAAATCGCTTCTTAAAACCCACCTCTTCTATCTATTTGCCTGTACAGCACTTTGGTCTGGAGGTTTAAAGTGCTTTATAAATAAAGTTGTATGTAGTTGTATCTCACTGCTGATGTTCTGGAACTAAATATAAATGTTAAGTTTCAAAATATCTACAGTGAGCTGGAAGAAAATGTTTGGACCTTGCTTATAACTCCGTAAGAATAACAACATGTGTGTCTAAATTCCTTCATTTTTAAACGAGTAGAAATCTATAAAAATCATTTTGACTGTTTCCTGTCCATCTCTTCATCTTATCTCAGAAAATCCTGTCTGCATCAACAAGTGACTGCAGCAGATTTATAATAAAAACAGCACAGCTAAAGACCCAGACTGAATGCTAAATGAGGCTTTGGGGGGGGGGGGGGGAGACGGCTTGCCATGGCAACTGTAATCTGTGCCCCAAATTGAACATTTACAGGATCTAATCCAGACAGTTTGTTTTTTTCAGATGATGGCTGCAGTGCGCCTCTGGAAATCAGGCCATGTCTCATTGTGCAGCCGACCAGAGCAGCCAGTCCATCTCCATTCCTTCCGGTCAGTGGTAACCAGTACAGATGCAGCTAACTCTGTGTGTGTGTGTGTGTGTGTGTGTGTGTGTGTGTGTGTGTGTGTGTGTGTGTGTGTGTGTGTGTGTGTGTGTGTGTGTGTGTGTGTGTGTGGTGTGTGTGTGTGTGTGAGAGAGAGAGAGACTGTCTGGCAGTCTAACTGTGGGTCTCAGACATGAACAGTCTCTATACGTCTGGAGATATTTCTTCATCAGTTTTTAACCGTTCAACTACCGTTTAAATTACCAGATAAAGTTATACAACTCTTAACATAGAAAGAAAGACAGAATACCTACGTTTTTTCAATTGATTTTGTTTGATTCGGTTTGACTATTGTAAAGGCCTGTTTTCTTTGTTAGCTGTGTGAAAACTTTGTCATTATATTTTGAGCAAACCCATTTCACAATATCATCCAAACCATCGGAGGTCAAGCAACTCATCAACTGTGAGTAACACAACAAATATGAAGGAAAGAAAACGCGTTAGAAATGTCTGTTTAAGGCGTCTAGTGGCTTCATGGAAAATAAGGAAGGAAGCCACGACAACATCTTCCAATTACATACTGTAGGTCTACTACAGGTAATAACACCTAAAGGTGGGGTAGGTAATTCACCTCAGAAACACTTGTTATATTCCATGGAATGCTCTTAACATCCCGATAGCAATGAATACATGAAGTGATTTGACAACAAATCCATACAAACATCTCATCAGTGGAAGCCGTAGCGCTGTAAAAAGCACGACCAATCATCTGAGCCGGCTAAAGTAACAGGATGGCCTACCTGCCTGTCAGCCTTCCATCTGGGCACAAACTGATCTCGTGCCCTCATTGGTCATGTGCGCGTTCGTGTGTGTTGGAGGAGGGGCTCTGTGAGGAAGTCTGAAGGAAGGATTCTTTCGGCTACGTACTAGGGGTGCAACAACTAATCGACTTAATCGATGACCAAATTAGTTGCCAACTAATTCACTCGTCGATTCGTTGGTGACGTCATCACGTGTGTTTTACGCGCCGTTAAGCTCCAACGTTATCGGTCTTTTTATCGGTACTGGAGACATTTAAAACGTATGTCTATGTATTATTGCTACAAAAACATTATATCGCAGTCTTAGTGTCGCCAACTCGTTTCTAATATGCAATAATACTACAAAATGCATCTATGATGTAATTTCGATCTTTCCAATCCCCGTCTGTGTGCGCGGGGGCGGGGCAGTTTACACACACACGGAGGAGATGGCGGAGAGAACTAAGCGATCCGAGGTGGTTCAACTTTACCCGTCTCGATGCTCGTTGCCTAAAGTGCAATACGAGTTTATCATGTGAGGGCGGTAACACGAGCAATTTGTCTAAACATTTAGCAAAGGTGCTCCACGTCCAGACGGAGGAATGCACCGGGGTCGACTGTCTCTCTAGCAGCTCTGTAGCCCCGTCCACGAGTAACGTTTCCACGTCAGGTGTTATGTATGCTAGCAGCAACACACGGAGTTAACTCCATGATACAAACATGGGTTAATGATGAGAGGGAACTGAGTTATTTAGTTAGTTAAAGTTTCAGCTATTCTGTTCACAGTTCTGTCATCACATTATTTAATACGATTTGTTAAAACATTGTTTCTTTTTATGTGAAATATTATTTATTTAATTTAAATAAAAAGCAATGTTAATTTTGTTCACAATTTGTTTAGTTTATTTACCTTTTTTTAATTTTAAGAGTAGCCTACCGCTAAAGGACCGGATCGATAAGCAGTATAAAAGTAATAGTGCAGTTAAAACCTTAACGATCCGAATAATCGATTCATCGTTTCATTAATCGATTATCAAATTAGTCGTTTGTTGCAGCCCTGCTGCGTACTTTCACATTCTAGCGCACCCGAGCTGGTTCCTTTAATGCAGAATCAACAAAACTGCACATATTTATTTTATTATTCTGAGTATTTTGTCACAGTATACTGCTCGTAGTTTGTTAGTATGTAACAAATAAGTGTTTATGTATGCACTACAGACACCAAGGAAAATGTGTCGTATGTGAAAACTTACTTGGCAATAAACCTGATTCTGATTAATTTGAGAGGCGACTGTTGGATAGCAAGGAGAGAGAACAGATGAAAGTAAAATGAGACGGGAGACGTCTGAACGAAGGGGGGTTGAAGGTAGACGAGTAATTCCCACGTTGGTTTGCATGCAGGCGTGTAAATAATGCAGAGAAGACATTTTTGACACCGAGCTGACTCTTCAAACCGCAGCTAAAGCTAATCACCTTTTCTATTTGTGTCCCTTTCACTTTCCTTCTACCTTTTGACACGTTGATGAGAGCGTGTGAAGCACTGCGTGAAGCCTTAAGAACTATTGGTGTGTGTGAACATCTGGAAAACTAGATGGTCGTGAACCAAACCATCATAACCAGTGACATTATTATCAAACATGTACCTGCAGAACTGAGAAGGAGACGCCTTGATGAGTACAATAAAGTATTAGCTGGGTGTGCTGCTGGTGACCTGACATGGTAATATAAGACAGAGTGAGTGTAGTGGCGTGTACAGAGGGAGAGAGAGAGTGTAGTGGCGTGTACAGAGAGAGAGAGAGAGTGTAGTGGCGTGTACAGAGGGAGAGAGAGAGTGTAGTGGCGTGTACAGAGGGAGAGAGAGAGTGTAGTGGCGTGTACAGAGGGAGAGAGAGTGTAGTGGCGTGTACAGAGGGGAGAGAGAGTGTAGTGGCGTGTACAGAGGGAGAGAGTGTAGTGGCGTGTACAGAGAGAGAGAGAGAGAGTGTAGTGGCGTGTACAGAGGGAGAGAGAGTGTAGTGGCGTGTACAGAGGGAAGAGAGAGAGTGTAGTGGCGTGTACAGAGGGAGAGAGAGAGTGTAGTGGCGTGTACAGAGGGAGAGAGAGAGAGTGTAGTGGCGTGTACAGAGGGAGAGAGAGAGTGTAGTGGCGTGTACAGAGGGAGAGAGAGAGTGTAGTGGCGTGTACAGAGAGAGAGAGAGAGTGTAGTGGCGTGTACAGAGGGAGAGAGAGAGAGTGTAGGGGCGTGTACAGAGGGAGAGAGAGAGGTAGTGGGTGACAGAGGGAGAGAGAGAGTGTAGTGGCGTGTACAGAGAGAGAGAGAGAGTGTAGTGGCGTGTACAGAGAGAGAGAGAGAGTGTAGTGGCGTGTACAGAGGGAGAGAGAGTGTAGTGGCGTGTACAGAGAGAGAGAGAGTGTAGTGGCGTGTACAGAGAGAGAGAGAGAGTGTAGTGGCGTGTACAGAGGGAGAGAGAGAGTGTAGTGGCGTGTACAGAGGGAGAGAGAGAGTGTAGTGGCGTGTACAGAGAGAGAGAGAGTGTAGTGGCGTGTACAGAGGGAGAGAGAGTGTAGTGGCGTGTACAGAGGGAGAGAGAGTGTATGGCGTGTACAGAGGGAGAGAGAGTGTAGTGGCGTGTACAGAGGGAGAGAGAGAGTGTAGTGGCGTGTACAGAGGGAGAGAGAGAGTGTAGTGGCGTGTACAGAGGGAGAGAGAGAGTGTAGTGGCGTGTACAGAGAGAGAGAGAGTGTAGTGGCGTGTACAGAGGGAGAGAGAGAGTGTAGTGGCGTGTACAGAGAGAGAGAGAGTGTAGTGGCGTGTACAGAGAGAGAGAGAGTGTAGTGGCGTGTACAGAGAGAGAGAGAGTGTAGTGGCGTGTACAGAGAGAGAGAGAGAGAGTGTAGTGGCGTGTACAGAGGGAGAGAGAGAGTGTAGTGGCGTGTACAGAGGGAGAGAGAGAGTGTAGTGGCGTGTACAGAGGGAGAGAGAGTGTAGTGGCGTGTACAGAGGGAGAGAGAGAGTGTAGTGGCGTGTACAGAGGGGAGAGAGAGAGTGTAGTGGCGTGTACAGAGGGAGAGAGAGAGTGTAGTGGGCGTGTACAGAGGGAGAGAGAGAGTGTAGTGGCGTGTACAGAGGAGAGAGAGAGTGTAGTGGCGTGTACAGAGAGAGAGAGAGAGAGTGTAGTGGCGTGTACAGAGGGAGAGAGAGAGTGTAGTGGCGTGTACAGAGAGAGAGAGAGTGTAGTGGGCGTGTACAGAGAGAGAGAGAGAGAGTGTAGTGGCGTGTACAGAGGGAGAGAGAGAGTGTAGTGGCGTGTACATAGGGAGAGAGAGAGTGTAGTGGCGTGTACAGAGGGAGAGAGAGTGTAGTGGCGTGTACAGGAGGGAGAGAGAGAGTGTAGTGGCGTGTACAGAGGGAGAGAGAGAGTGTAGTGGCGTGTACAGAGGGAGAGAGAGTGTAGTGGCGTGTACAGAGGGAGAGAGAGTGTAGTGGCGTGTACAGAGGGAGAGAGAGAGTGTAGTGGCGTGTACAGAGGGAGAGAGAGTGTAGTGGCGTGTACAGAGAGAGAGAGAGAGAGAGTGTAGTGGCGTGTACAGAGAGAGAGAGAGAGAGAGAGAGTGTAGTGGCGTGTACAGAGAGGGAGAGGTGTAGTGGCGTGTACAGAGGGAGAGAGAGAGAGTGTAGTGGCGTGTACAGAGGGAGAGAGAGTGTAGTGGCGTGTACAGAGGAGAGAGAGTGTAGTGGCGTGTACAGAGGGAGAGAGAGAGTGTTGGCGTGTACAGAGGGAGAGAGAGAGTGTAGTGGCGTGTACAGAGGGAGAGAGAGAGTGTAGTGGCGTGTACAGAGGAGAGAGAGAGTGTAGTGGCGTGTACAGAGGGAGAGAGAGTGTAGTGGCGTGTACAGAGAGGGAGAGAGAGAGAGTAGTGGCGTGTACAGAGGGAGAGAGAGTGTAGTGGCGTGTACAGAGAGGGAGAGAGAGAGTGTAGTGGGCGTGTACAGAGAGGGAGAGAGAAGAGAGTTGTAGTGGCGTGTACAGAGGATGGAGAGAGAGAGAGTGGTAGTGGCCGTTGTACAGAGAGAGAGAGAGAGCAGAGGAGAGAGTGTAGTGGCGTGTTACAGAGAGAGAGAGAGAGAGAGAGAGAGTGTAGGTGGCTGTGTACCAGAGGAGGAGAGAGAGTGTAGGGGCGTGTACAGAGGGAAGAGAGGAGTGTAGTGGCGTGTACAGAGGGAGAGAGAGATGTAGTGGCGTGGTACAGAGGGAGAGAGGAGTGTAGTGGCGTGTACAGAAGAGGAGAGACGAGAGTGTAGTGGCGTGTACAGAGAGAGAGAGAGAGTGTAGTGGCGTGTACAGAGGGAGAAGAGAGAGTGTAGTGCGTGTACAGAGGGAGAGAGAGTGTAGTGGGCGTGTACGAGAGAGAGAGAGAGTGGTAGTTGGCGTGTACAGAGAGAGAGAGAAGAGTGTATGGCGTGTCAGAGAGAGAGGAGTGTAGTGGGCGTGTACAGAGAGAAGAGAGAGTGTAGTGGCGTGTACAGAGGGCAGGAGAGAGTGTAGTGGCGTGTACAGAGAGAGAGAGAGTGTAGTGGCGTGTACAGAGAGAGAGAGTGTAGTGGCGTGTACAGAGGGAGAGAGAGTGTAGTGGCGTGTACAGAGGGAGAGAGAGAGTGTAGTGGCGTGTACAGAGGGAGAGAGAGTGTAGTGGCGTGTACAGAGGGAGAGAGAGAGTGTAGTGGCGTGTACAGAGAGAGAGAGAGAGAGTGTAGTGGCGTGTACAGAGGGAGAGAGAGAGTGTAGTGGCGTGTACAGAGGGAGAGAGAGAGTGTAGTGGCGTGTACAGAGGGAGAGAGAGAGTGTAGTGGCGTGTACAGAGGGAGAGAGAGTGTAGTGGCGTGTACAGAGGGAGAGAGAGAGTGTAGTGGCGTGTACAGAGGGAGAGAGAGAGTGTAGTGGCGTGTACAGAGGGAGAGAGAGAGTGTAGTGCGTGTACAAGAGAGAGAGAGAGGAGTTGTAGTGGCGTGTACAGAGAGGGAGAGTGTAGTGGCGTGTACAGAGGGAGAGAGAGAGAGTGTAGTGGCGTGTACAGAGAGAGAGAGAGTGTAGTGGCGTGTACAGAGAGAGAGAGAGAGTGTAGTGGCGTGTACAGAGGGAGAGAGAGAGTGTAGTGGCGTTGTACAGAGGGAGAGAGAGTGTAAGTGGCGTGTACAGAGGGAGGAGAGAGAGTGTAGTGGCGTGTACAGAGGGAGAGAGAGAGTGTAGTGGCGTGTACAGAGGGAGAGAGAGAGTGTAGTGGCGTGTACAGAGAGAGAGAGAGAGTGTAGTGGCGGTCAGTCTCCCACCTGCTCTGCTCAGTCTGTCAGCTGGCAGCTCCTCTTCACGGGGCAGCTTGGGAACCGGACCCAGAACCATCTTCACCAGCTTCTGGCCGTCCCTCCACGACGCAGGGCTGATCACTGCAGAGAGACAACATTATTATTTTTTATTCTCAACAGTCGTTTGTATTTTCCACATGTATATCTTTACTTTTTAATTAGGGCTGTCAGTCGATTCAAATATTTAATCGCAATTAATCGCAAATTAAATCACACATTTTTTATCTCTTCCAAATGTTCCTTAGAGGGATATTTTTCAAGTTTTTAATACTCTTATCAACATATGAGTGGACAAATATGCTTTATGCAAATGTTTGTTTATTATCATTTGATCAATGACAAATATTCTCATGAATATTAAACACAACAACCTGGAACCTCTCTCATACAATACAGTGTGTGTGTGTGTGTGTGTGTGTGTGTGTGTGTGTGTGTGTGTGTGTGTGTGTGTGTGTGTGTGTGTGTGTGTGTGTGTGTGTGTGTGTGTGTGTGTGTGTGTGTGTGTGTGTGTGTGTGTGTGTGTGTGTGTGTGTGTGTGTGTGTGTGTGATGGATCGTTGGAGCTATGTGCAACTCAAGGCATATGCTCGAACCGGAGCTGCCTGGACGCTGCAATCATGTTGCGCACTATCCGTGCTGAGTGTGCTGACTTTTCGTACAATGTCCCACTGTCTGGCTTCCTGCATAAAGTCAAGTGCTCGGCGCAGTTGTGGCGAAATGTCGCTCCTCTGTTTTCATTTAAACAGCTCCTTATATCTGTTAGCGCAGCTAGCTAGCACCAGATGCTAACAACAACAATGTACGTAAGGTCTCTCTCTCGCTCGCTCCGGCCACACATACACACACCCTCCCGGTCCTCCCAACAGCCAGTCGGTGCCTGCCGGTGAGCGTGGAAGTGTGGTCTGCAGCAAGCGGGCGGCAGGAGCGGGGCTGTCAGCATCAGCTTGTAGACGGTATTTTAAACTCGATGCGCTCTGAAACTACGGGGCGGCCGAGGACAAAAAATGCACATGCGTTAATCGCGTTTTTTTTTTGCGTTAACGCGTTAACTTGACAGCCCTAATTTTAATGCTATTTTATTTCTATTTCTGAAATATTGTGTCTTAATTTCTCTTGTTTTTTATGCTGCTGCAACGCAAACATTTCACAAATTGGGATCAATAAAGTATCTATCCATCTAGAAGATCATATTAATAATACATTTACTTATAAAAAGGCACCTTTCAAGGCTCTCAAGGTCTATATGTAATATAATCAATCAATAAACACTATGTACTATCCTTTGTTGACATTGTTTAAAGGCCCGGACACACCAAGCCGATTTTGGCCGACGATGAGCGTCCTGTCGCCCTACTCAGATTGGTGTGTCCCGCACCGTCGTGTCTTGCCGACACCTTTTTGGCCGAAGCAGCCGGCCAAAGGCTGTCTGCAAAATAAATCACTCTGATTGGCTGTTCAGCTTAGCGAATCAGTGCATGAGATGCGTTACTATAGTAACTGCCCCGGTTACTAAACTGTAATGGAAACGCAGCATAAAGTGAGCCTGGCCTACCAAGGCCTAACGATACCGTACTAAGCCGTGCGAGGCCCTGCAGTGGAAACGCGCCGATGCTGCTGGGGAAGAGCGTTGCAATTCAATACAGTCCATGTTGACCTCATGGCTGCAGACATGCCACCACAAGCAGCACAGACTCACTTCAACACATTCAAACAGTGATTAGAGAAGGGAAAAGACACCATTTGATAAACAAGGTGCACTGCTTTAGTGAGACTAATCTAAATGGTCACTTGATCTAAACCCAGTGATGTGAAAAACATGAAGACTGTGTACTTTGCATGAAGGTTATGAAACAAAAAGGAATTGTTTTTGCAGTTTGCCGAAATCCCCTCCAGTGCATTTTCCTCTTTAGTGACTATCTGGCAGACAAATGTGTTTTTTTATACACACTGCTATCCCTGCTGATCAGAGAGTCAGATGTGTGTGGCTGCTTAAGAGCGTAGAAAACCTTTAATATCAAATGTCTCTTTACATGGACTGATCCCACAGGCCATGAGACCGTTAAACACCTGAACGTTCATCTGTCTGCAACTTATATCAATATTCCAATTACTTGTATATAGAATATTCTGCACTGTTTGATCTGTTTGATTGTGTTGCTCTGTTGGAGTGACCTCAGCTGTTCATGGTCATATCTACACTGTAGCTGTGAACACATGGCAATAAAAGCCTTGAATCTTGAATCTAGAGCTATCACCCCGAGAGAGGTCCCTGGTAGTGAAGCCGTGCGCTCACCAAGCAGCTGTTTGTGCTGCAGACTGAACCTGGCCACAGACTTCAGTTATTTATAGAAACCAGCCAGACTTCAGGGACAAGTACAAGAGTTGGAAGAAACCCAAAGCAGAAACCAGGAGTGAATGAAAGCTCCGGCAGAGATATCCATCTGCACTCAGCTTTGACGCTATCCACAATTCATCTGAATTATTTCTGCGATGTTTTTACCAAAAACATATTTAGTTAAATCTGAATAATACAGTTTGTTGGCGTGGATATCTCTGCAGCGCAACAATGTTGGAAACTGTATTTTAACACATATACACTTTAGGAAATATTGTGCTCCTGCAAAAAGAGAGCTTGTTAACTTCGCTTGTGTTAACCAGAACTCTCTGCTCTTAGCTTCTCTTGGATAACTGGACTTAAACTCCCATTGTACATTTTAAATTGAGTATGTAATAATCCATTCCTTACACAATTAATGTATATATATATATATATATATATATAATATCCTGCTTTATATTTTGTTACTGTACATTTGTATTTCAACATGTATATTCTCTACTTTTTTAAATGCTATTTGTTTACATGTTGGATTGTTTATTTCTAGTCTTTTAATTTCTCTAATGTTCAATGCCTTGTGTTTTTATGCTGCTGCAACGCAAACATGCCGCAAATTGGGATCAATAAAGTACTTCTTATCTTGCCGTGTGTCCATTTGGGAGCATCTTTGTAAATATGTGTGTGTGTGTGTGTGTGTGTGTGTGTGTGAGCTGTGCAGAGTAACAGCAGTATGTGGCTGTGACTTTTCTATGTGTGTGTTACACAAACTGCATGTGACACATACTGAACATTTCTTCAGGGGATCACACACTTGACACACACACACACACACACACACACACACACACACACACACACACACACACACACACACACACACACACACACACACACACACACACACACACACACACACACACACACACACACACACACACACACACACACACACACACACACACACACACACACACAATCTGCCGAAACCGATGTTTCCCGATCCGATCTTTATGCAATGCATTAAGAGGAAAGAAAGGTAACAGCTAACGGCTGGTCATCCAACGCGATGAGTTCAGCTCTCTTGGCTGTTTGGCCTTTTCACTGTTCTGGGGCCGTTTCTCTTTCCTTTTGAAAGCCTCTGAAAGTGTCGGTTGCTTCCGTGCCGTTACCCGAGTGGCCGCTGTGCACTCGTCCTGTTGTTGGTGTTTGTTTCTCAGGTGGCGTGTTAGATTGGTCGTGTTGAACGTAGCTCTGTTCTTTCCACCACGCGGAACCTCCGCCTTGCAAACATTGCATCTGGCTGTTACACTGCCTTCGCTTTCAATTTCATAATACTTCCAAACTCCTGACATTTTCTCTGTCCCGACTCCCGAGTCACCAGCTGAACGTAGCCTCTCGTTAGCTGCTACTATTAGACACTGCGCCCACTCTGTTGCTTTGAGAGGAATAAGCAACCAGGTCTGAAAACAAGCCCAACAGAAGCAACACATACATGATGTTGAGTCATTTTGAACCAAAGCTAAGGCCTCAGGATGACTTTAAGACGTGAACATGGTCATTTTAGTTTTGTAACATTAAATAAAATAATACAAATATTTTATTTAAAAAAAAGAATTCCTGATCCCCGATTTTTTTCTCCCGATCCCGATCTTTTGAAAATCACGTGATCGGCTCCGATCCCCGATCACGTGATCGGGACATCTCTACTTTGGTCCATAAGCATCGACCTGGGATCACTTCCTGCTAGATGGTTCCACTTAGTAAACTTCCTTATTGTCACAGATCTGAGGATTACCTGGTTTGGCGGTTGCTTCAGAGGAAGGGGCCGCTCTGTGGACCTTCCTCACTGGTTTGGGGGGCCTCCTCTCTCTGGATCTGTCTGCTCTCTGTTCCTTCTGGTGCTGCTGTCTGGATCTGGTGCTCTCTGGACACAGACAATAAGCAACAAAATATATTTCTTTATTCAACTAAAGAAAATTGCTGATGAGTTTTAGCTATCCGGCAAACAGTAAGACTGTCACTGACCGCACATTCTAGGTGTTAAATAAACATAGAATACAACTTAGAAAAACAAGCCCTGGGGCAAGGTAAGGTGCCTCTGATGTAATAAACCAAAACTAGAGAGGCACTGATCGATCGGCTACTGATCATATCCATTTTCTTCATGTCTAATTGAAACAGAAGTGGCACATTATGGCAGCACAGCAGTGTGGAAGTTGAGAGCGAGTGAAAAATACATTAAAGGTCCCGTGTCATGGCCATTTCCACTGATCATAATTCCATTGTTGAGGTCTACTAGAATAGATTTATACTGTGCAATTTTCCAAACTCACATTGTTTCGCATACAGCATCTCTGTAAAGTATGTGTATTCACTCTCTCCACTAAACGGCTCGTTGCAGCTCTTGCCCCCCCCCTCGCTGTGAGCCCAGTGTGCTCCGATTGGTCGGGACGTTGTGAATCGCGCTGAGCTCCGTGGAGGTGTGATTTCCTTGTTTAGCGATACACAGCGAAACACAGCCAAACTCACGCTGAGCACACACAAAGTCACAGCCGAAGTAGAAACAATAAGTGTGGCTTGATATGGAGTAAGAAAAAGGTTGATAAACGCTGTGAGAATGGGTCTGCAGAGAGAACGGGTCTGCAGAGAGAACGGGTCTGCAGAGAGAATGGGTCTGCAGAGAGAATGGGTCTGCAGAGAGAACGGGTCAGCAGAGAGAACGGGTCAGCAGAGAGAACGGGTCAGCAGAGAGAACGGGTCTGCAGAGAGAACGGGTCAGCAGAGAGAACGGGTCAGCAGAGAGAACGGGTCTGCAGAGAGAACGGGTCTGCAGAGAGAACGGGTCTGCAGAGAGAACGGGTCTGCAGAGAGAACGGGTCTGCAGTGAGAACGGGTCTGTAGAGAGAACGGGTCTGTAGAGAAAACGGGTCTGCAGAGAGAACGGGTCTGTAGAGAGAACGGGTCTGCAGAGAGAACGGGTCTGCAGTGAGAATGGGTCTGTAGAGAGAATGGGTCTGCAGAGAGAATGGGTCTGTAGAGAAAATGGGTCTGCAGTGAGAATGGGTCTGTAGAGAGAATGGGTCTGCAGAGAGAACGGTTCTGCAGAGAGAACGGGTCTGCAGAGAGAACGGGTCTGCAGAGAGAACGGGTCTGCAGAGAGAACGGGTCTGCAGAGAGAACGGGTCTGTAGAGAGAACGGGTCTGCAGAGAGAACGGGTCTGCAGAGAGAACGGGTCTGCAGAGAGAACGGGTCTGTAGAGAGAATGGGTCTGCAGAGAGAACGGGTCTGCAGAGAGAACGGTTCTGCAGAGAGAACGGGTCTGCAGAGAGAACGGGTCTGCAGAGAGAACGGGTCTGCAGAGAGAACGGGTCTGCAGAGAGAACGGGTCTGCAGTGAGAATGGGTCTGTAGAGAGAATGGGTCTGCAGAGAGAACGGTTCTGCAGAGAGAACGGGTCTGCAGTGAGAATGGGTCTGTAGAGAGAATGGGTCTGCAGAGAGAACGGTTCTGCAGAGAGAACGGGTCTGCAGAGAGAACGGGTCTGCAGAGAGAACGGGTCTGCAGTGAGAACGGGTCTGTAGAGAAAACGGGTCTGCAGAGAGAACGGGTCTGCAGTGAGAATGGGTCTGTAGAGAGAATGGGTCTGCAGAGAGAATGGGTCTGTAGAGAAAATGGGTCTGCAGAGAGAACGGGTCTGCAGAGAGAACGGGTCTGCAGTGAGAACGGGTCTGTAGAGAGAATGGGTCTGCAGAGAGAATGGGTCTGTAGAGAAAATGGGTCTGCAGTGAGAATGGGTCTGCAGTGAGAATGGGTCTGTAGAGAGAATGGGTCTGCAGAGAGAACGGGTCTGCAGAGAGAACGGGTCTGCAGTGAGAATGGGTCTGTAGAGAGAATGGGTCTGCAGAGAGAACGGGTCTGCAGAGAGAACGGGTCTGCAGTGAGAATGGGTCTGTAGAGAGAATGGGTCTGCAGAGAGAATGGGTCTGTAGAGAAAATGGGTCTGCAGTGAGAATGGGTCTGTAGAGAGAATGGGTCTGCAGAGAGAACGGTTCTGCAGAGAGAACGGGTCTGCAGAGAGAACGGGTCTGCAGAGAGAACGGGTCTGTAGAGAAAACGGGTCTGCAGAGAGAACGGGTCTGTAGAGAGAACGGGTCTGTAGAGAGAACGGGTCTGCAGTGAGAACGGGTCTGTAGAGAGAATGGGTCTGCAGAGAGAACGGTTCTGCAGAGAGAATGGGTCTGCAGAGAGAACGGGTCTGTAGAGAAAACGGGTCTGCAGAGAGAACGGGTCTGCAGTGAGAATGGGTCTGTAGAGAAAACGGGTCTGCAGAGAGAACGGGTCTGTAGAGAAAACGGGTCTGCAGAGAGAACGGGTCTGTAGAGAGAATGGGTCTGCAGAGAGAACGGTTCTGCAGAGAGAACGGGTCTGCATAGAGAACGGGTCTGCAGAGAGAACGGGTCTGCAGAGAGAACGGGTCTGCAGAGAGAACGGGTCTGCAGAGAGAACGGGTCTGCAGAGAGAACGGGTTCTGCAGAGAGAACGGGTCTGCAGAGAGAACGGGTCTGCAGAGAGAACGGGTCTGCAGAGAGAACGGGTCTGCAGAGAGAACGGGTCTGCAGAGAGAACGGGTCTGCAGAGAGAACGGGTCTGCAGAGAGAACGGGTCTGCAGAGAGAACGGGTCAGCAGAGAGAACGGGTCTGCAGTGAGAACGGGTCTGCAGAGAGAACGGGTCTGCAGAGAGAACGGGTCTGCAGAGGCAGAGAGAACGGGTCTGCAGAGAGAACGGGTCTGCAGAGAGAACGGGTCTGCAGAGAGAACGGGTCTGCAGAGAGAACGGGTCTGCAGAGAGAACGGGTCTGCAGAGAGAACGGGTCTGCAGAGAGAACGGGTCTGCAGAGAGAACGGGTCTGCAGAGAGAACGGGTCTGCAGAGAGAACGGGTCTGCAGAGAGAACGGGTCTAGCAGAGAGAACGGGTCAGCAGAGAGAACGGGTCTGCAGAGAGAACGGGTCTGCAGAGAGAACGGGTCTGCAGAGAGAACGGGTCAGCAGAGAGAATGGGTCTGCAGAGAGAATGGGTCTGCAGAGAGAATTTCGCCGCGATCCCAACTGTCTGTTATCAGCCTGCAGCCAGGGAGGAGAGATCAGCAGAGCTGCCTGCACTGAGTGTGTAAGGAAGTCCGTGGATTGGTCAATTTGGACCAATCAGCGGGGGCTTAACGTAACGGCTCCGCGGACGTAACGTAACGGCTCCACGGATTGGTCCATTTCGTTCCGGGTACGGTTGACATCATGCGTACCCGGAAGAATCAAATGGACGGTGACGTATCTCCAACGAGGCGTTTTGGGTTAGAGTTTTACTCGCTACAGGGTGCACTTTGAGGGGTTTGACTCTGCACACCGTTTACATGCATACAAACCTTCATAACACAAGGGGACGGGTACTAACCAGAAAAGCATGCCATGTCACCTTTAAGCTTATTATCTGTAACACAATAAGGCTGCGGAGTCACCTTAAAAACAAGGTTCTAATAAGTCTCATAACTTGGTGGGGTTTTGGAGAAAATGGAAGTTATTTAAAAGTGAATGTTTAATAATTAAGATACAATTTTATCTTCCATTTAAGAAAAGTGTTTAATTATATTGCACTGAATGAAAATTGGAACAAGCTAAATGTGGAACATGCAGCTCAGACTTAAATAACAAAAAATCAATTGGTGCATCTCTACCAGAGACTTTGAATAAACATCGTGTTTATTTATAGTTGATACTATGGGCACTTGTAAACGTCTATAACTATGTAAATGTATCCTGTAAATATAATGTATGATGTCCTTTATTGTTTTATGTTTCATGTGGAACCTATATGCTGCAGGTCTCCCTTGAAAAAGAGATCTATGATCTCAACGGGACCAATCTGGTTAAATAAAGGTTTGAAATTAAATTAAATGAATGCAACACTCCTCTATGGAAAACAGCTGATCCAATCTATCTAGACCTCGTACAGATCTATAACTCCATGCCATGCATTCAGTGCAATCAATAGTTTGCTAATGCATCTTTACAGTCAGCTCAATATACTCCAGGCCAGAGGGTCCAAAACAAACTGGATAAAAGCTCGGGAACATACAAGAACCAGAGCAGATCAGAGTTACCGATCGCTGTAGTTTTCCACATAAAACTCATTTCATGATCCCCGCTCTAAGCCCAGGTGAAATATCATAAACAGGGTTCCTGCAGGTTTCACCAACTCAAATGTAAGACTTTTTAAGACCACTTTGAATAGAATTTAAGACCCATTTCACGGCAAGAAAGTATGAAGGAAAATTGCTAGGAAAGAAGAAATACCGCATAACAGTACACAGAACTGTGTGTGTGTTTGTGTCTCTCTGTGTGTGCGTATGTCAGAGCTCTGCTGTATTCATGCTGTTGTATGATTGGTGTTCAGCTACGGTATTTAGCGTCTACAGCACTTCCGCTTTTAGGGTTGACGTAGACTCAAGCGTCGCCCAGAGGTCCCCCGGTGTTGTTGAGGGAGCTGCTGCACTAGCTAACGCTGCATTAGCTGCTGCTGCACTAGCTAACGCCGCATTAGCTGCTGCTGCTCTAGCTAACGCCGCATTAGCTGCTGCTGCACTAGCTAACGCTACATTAGCTGCTGCTGCACTAGCTAACGCCGCATTAGCTGCTGCTGCACTAGCTAACGCTACATTAGCTGCTGCTGCACTAGCTAACGCTGCATTAGCTGCTGCTGCACTAGCTAACGCTGCATTAGCAGCTGCTGCACTAGCTAACGCTGCATTAGCTGCTGCTGCACTAGCTAACGCTGCATTAGCTGCTGCTGCACTAGCTAACGCTGCATTAGCTGCTGCTGCACTAACTAACGCTACATTAGCTGCTGCTGCTCTAGCTAACGCTGCATTAGCTGCTGCTGCACTAGCTAACGCTGCATTAGCTGCTGCTGCACTAGCTAACGCTGCATTAGCAGCTGCTACACTAACTAACGCTACATTAGCTGCTGCTGCTCTAGCTAACGCTGCATTAGCTGCTGCTGCTCTAGCTAACGCTACATTAGCTGCTGCTGCACTAGCTAACGCTGCATTAGCTGCTGCTGCTCTAGCTAACGCTACATTAGCTGCTGCTGCTCTAGCTAACGCTGCATTAGCTGCTGCTGCTCTAGCTAACGCTACATTAGCTGCTGCTGCACTAGCTAACGCTGCATTAGCTGCTGCTGCTCTAGCTAACGCTGCATTAGCTGCTGCTGCACTAGCTAACACTACATTAGCTGCTGCTGCACTAGCTAACGCTGCATTAGCAGCTGCTGCACTAACTAACGCTACATTAGCTGCTGCTGCTCTAGCTAACGCTGCATTAGCTGCTGCTGCTCTAGCTAACGCTGCATTAGCTGCTGCTGCACTAGCTAACGCTGCATTAGCTGCTGCTGCTCTAGCTAACGCTACATTAGCTGCTGCTGCTCTAGCTAACGCTACATTAGCTGCTGCTGCTCTAACTAACGCTACATTAGCTGCTGCTGCACTAGCTAACGCTGCATTAGCTGCTGCTGCTCTAGCTAACGCTACATTAGCTGCTGCTGCACTAGCTAACGCTACATTAGCTGCTGCTGCTCTAGCTAACGCTGCATTAGCTGCTGCTGCACTAGCTAACGCTGCATTAGCTGCTGCTGCTCTAGCTAACGCTGCATTAGCTGCTGCTGCACTAGCTAACGCTACATTAGCTGCTGCTGCACTAACTAACGCTACATTAGCTGCTGCTGCTCTAGCTAACGCTGCATTAGCTGCTGCTGCACTAGCTAACGCTGCATTAGCTGCTGCTGCTCTAGCTAACGCTACATTAGCTGCTGCTGCACTAACTAACGCTACATTAGCTGCTGCTGCTCTAGCTAACGCTGCATTAGCTGCTGCTGCACTAGCTAACGCCGCATTAGCTGCTGCTGCTCTAGCTAACGCTACATTAGCTGCTGCTGCTCTAGCTAACGCTGCATTAGCAAAACAAACGCCAATTTATTTTTGCAAAAGGTGCAGCGGGCTTCAAACACGTTCCCTCCACTGGTTTCAACCAAGCACTAAAATCGATGTTTTCCAACCAAATTCGGTTGAACTGACACTTCCCCATATTTATTTGTAAGTAGATTCGAAGAGACATGAGTTTGACTGCAGCTAGCTGAAGCTTGGTTGCTAGGTTACTAGCTGGGTGTTCTCCGATAAGGGGCGGGGGGGGAAACAAAGTTAGTGATTACTGGTTCCAGGTTGATTTATTTCAATACAGATTGTTGGGGGAACTGACACTATTACCGTACTGGTTACTTTGCAACCCGGACATTCCCCCAAAACACATTTAGACGCGATCGAAACACAGAAGTACCTTTCACATCCCATCATCTTAAGACCTTCTAAATCATATTTAAGACCTTTTTAAGGCTTTAAATTCTGATTATCAAATGTAAGACTTTTTAAGACCCTGCGGGAACCCTGATAAACAAGTCCATGTTTTGAAGTGAAACAGTGACACCCTGACCATATCTGAAAATGCGAATGATTGTAATGAAAATAAAGTGTGTGTGTCCCGAGCTCACCAGCAAACTGTCGGGACAGGTCTCTGTATATTTCTCTGCTGAGGTTATGGAACTCCTCCTCCTTCCAGACTTTCCCATCAGGAGTCTGGATCTTCGTCTCAGTGCTGTTGAAACCTGGAAGTAAAGACATTAAAGGTCACCTATTATGCAAAATACACTTTTTCATCTTCTCCATGTCTCTTCTACATCAACATGTGTCCCCTCTTCTTCATGTCTCTTCTACATCAACATGTGTCCCCTCTTCTTCATGTCTCTTCTACATCAACATGTGTCCCCTCTTCTTCATGTCTCTTCTACATCAACATGTGTCCCCTCTTCTTCGTGTCTCTTCTACATCAACATGTGTCCCCCTCTTCTTCATGTCTCTTCTACATCAACATGTGTCCCCTCTTCTTCATGTCTCTTCTACATCAACATGTGTCCCCTCTTCTTCATGTCTCTTCTACATCAACATGTGTCCCCTCTTCTCCATGTCTCTTCTACATCAACATGTGTCCCCTCTTCTCCATGTCTCTTCTACATCAACACGTGTCCCCTCTTCTCCATGTCTCTTCGACATCAACATGTGTCCCCTCTTCTCCATGTCTCTTCGACATCAACATGTGTCCCCTCTTCTCCATGTCTCTTCGACATCAACATGTGTCCCCTCTTCTTCATGTCTCTTCTACATCAACACGTGTCCCCTCTTCTACATCAACATGTGTCCCCTCTTCTCCATGTCTCTTCGACATCAACATGTGTCCCCTCTTCTCCATGTCTCTTCGACATCAACATGTGTCCCCTCTTCTTCATGTCTCTTCTACATCAACACGTGTCCCCTCTTCTACATCAACATGTGTCCCCTCTTCTTCATGTCTCTTCTACATCAACATGTGTCCCCTCTTCTTCATGTCTCTTCTACATCAACATGTGTCCCCTCTTCTTCATGTCTCTTCTACATCAACATGTGTCCCCTCTTCTCCATGTCTCTTCTACATCAACATGTGTCCCCTCTTCTTCATGTCTCTTCTACATCAACACGTGTCCCCTCTTCTTCATGTCTCTTCTACATCAACACGTGTCCCCTCTTCTACATCAACATGTGTCCCCTCTTCTTCATGTCTCTTCTACATCAACATGTGTCCCCTCTTCTTCATGTCTCTTCTACATCAACACGTGTCCCCTCTTCTACATCAACATGTGTCCCCTCTTCTTCATGTCTCTTCTACGTCAACATGTGTCCCCTCTTCTTCATGTCTCTTCTACATCAACATGTGTCCCCTCTTCTTCATGTCTCTTGTACATCAACATGTGTCCCCTCTTCTTCATGTCTCTTCTACATCAACGTGTGTCCCCTCTTCCTCTACATCAACATGTGTCCCCTCTTCTTCATGTCTCTTCTACACCAACATGTGTCCCCTCTTCCTCATGTCTCTTCTACATCAACATGTGTCCCCTCTTCTTCATGTCTCTTCTACATCAACATGTGTCCCCTCTTCTTCATGTCTCTTCTACATCAACATGTGTCCCTCTGGTCCCCTCAATGGTCTCTTCATGTCTCTTCTACATCAACATGTGTCCCCTCTTCTCATGTCTCTTCTACATCAACATGTGTCCCCTCTTCTTCATGTCTCTTCTACATCAACATGTGTCCCCTCTTCTTCATGTCTCTTCTACATCAACATGTGTCCCCTCTTCTTCATGTCTCTTCTACATCAACATGTGTCCCCTCTTCTTCATGTCTCTTCTACATCAACATGTGTGTCTCTCTCTGTATGTCTCTTCTACATCAACATGTGTCCCCCTCTTCTTCATGTCTCTTCTCTACATCAACATGTGTCCCCTCTTCTTCATGTCTCTTCTACATCAACATGTGTCCCCTCTTCTTCATGTCTCTTCTACATCAACATGTGTCCCCTCTTCTTCATGTCTCTTCTACATCAACATGTGTCCCCTCTTCTTCATGTCTCTTCTACATCAACATGTGTCCCCTCTTCTTCATGTCTCTTCTACATCAACATGTGTCCCCTCTGTGGAAAGAGACTCTGAAAGTCTCAGGAACAAAGATTCTCTCTCTTTTTGATCCATTTCTATAAAAACCTGTCTGAAAATGAGCTGATCAGATTTTGGCCACTTGATGATGTCATAACGATGTTTTGTCTTGTGTAACCGTTAGCCAATCAGCAACCAAGGTACCCCCCCCCCCTTATCACCTGAATCTCCTCCTAGAGCTCCATTGAGTTATTTGTAACCAAATGTCTCTCAGAGGGGCGTGGGGAGGGGCTCCTTATTTTCATCTAAAGTAACAGACAGAGAATCAGCACTTTGGAAACAGGGCTGAAACAGAGGGGGTTATGGGTAATGCTGACATGATCTGTTTGCTGTTTCAGCCAATCAGAGACAGGCTCTGGATATATCTGAGACCTGTGAGATATTGATGAGATACAGTGTAATAGGGGGCCTTTACATATGTAAGCTGTATTCCCCAAAAGGTCAAACAAAGGATGTGACACAGCTGCAGGTACCTTTGTATATCGGAGCCGGTGGAGCAGCTGCTACTTTCCGTATTATTTTGTGCATGTTGCTGGTGCCGGCGTTGTTGCTCCCCACAGCTTCTACGTCCGGCTGCTCCAGGTTGAACAGCAGCTTCTCTCTCTCTGCCGCCTCCTCCAGATGTTGCCTCTGCCTCCGGATGCGCTCTTTGAGTTTCTCCAGCTTGTCGTCAGGCTGGTGCCGCCGGAGGTTCTCCAGCCGCTGAGAGGCTGATCCTGGGCTCGACGAGGGGGTGTTCTCCTCTCTTTGTGCGGATCCTGGAGCTAAACTCGGGCTCGACTCCTGTCCCTCCATGCCTGGTTGTGCTTTGGGAGTGTTGTCCTGCTCCCATGCAGAGACTCTGACCCCCGCGGTCCTCATGGAGTCCAGGGCAGGCTGTTCGTAGAGGAAACAGAATCCCTTTATTAGTCCCACAGAGGGGACATTTACATTGTTACAGCAAGAACAGAGCTCAATGTTACCTAAGAAGCATGCATGAAACAAATATTAAAGATAAAACAATTACGTGTGTTATTTACGTTCTCAGTGTTATTATTGATTTGATTTCTATACGTTTTGTTTTTCATATTCTCATAAGGATCGTTTGGGATTTAATGGCGGGTCTTTGTTGACCCGGTGAGGTGGTGTTCTTGAAGTATCTTTGTAATTACATTTTGTTATCATTTCATATTCCAGCTATTCCTCAAAAAACATGTTTTGGATATCAGGCCGTTCAAAGTTTTGATTTGCATTTTAAGTTTTTGTATTTCTACCCCAAGCTTCCATTAGTGGGTCAAAAATGACCCGCATGCATTTCTTATGGGATCCTTTGATTCTTATCACCTGTTGCTGTCAGGAATACATTCACTGTGGAACACACAGACGACATCACAAGTGACACCTCTCAGGAAGATTATTTTACACAGCAAGATCTGATACCTGTCAGTATAATAATAATACATTATATTTGTATAGGGCTTTTCAAGGACTCAACATCGCTTTACAATATAAGGGAAGGTTAGGGTGGGGGGGGGGGGGGGGGGGGGGGGGGGGGGGGGGGGTATAGGACTATCTTGATCAACCGGCATGGATTGATGGGGGGGGGCTTTGAGTAGACAAGAGGAGAAGAGGTGAGTTTTGAAAAGGGACTGGAATACTGTGAGGGTCTCAGAATGTCTAAAATTATAATAAGTGAAAAATTAAATATAAAATATTTCTAGTGTGAACCGAAATATAATACTAAATATTATAAAACGGACAAGTCAAATCAAGCAATCTGATTGGTTCTTAGCCGTGATATACTGAGCGTATACCACGGGTAGAATTGTAAGTTACTTTTCACAACAAGTCAGTATCCCTCCGCGCCTGAGAAAAACAGTATACCGTTGGGCTTTTCAAACTGGAACAAGAAAGCAGCGGAGAAGTAACGGGGCAGAAACCCTCCTTTTCACGCAGCGCTCCAGACATAGACATCAGACGGCAACACATATTCAGTGTGCAGTTCCTTTGGCTTTAGGGCAGGGATATCTAGATACTTTCCAAGGTCTGACATCATGAAGTGTGCTACTTTTAAAGCAAGCAACGATGTTTTCAAATCTGTAATCAAAGAGGTCTGCAAAAACACTATCGACCAATCAGATCGCTTGATTTGACTTGTCAGTTTCTTCCGTTACGAAACTAACTTACAAAGCATAAGATGGAAACATTTAAGGTTAACTTGGACCTCCGGGGGGTCTTACTATGGAGGAGAGGATTGAGCAGTGCCTATCTCCAGAGAGCCCCTAAACGACGACATGCAGAGCTACGTGAAGAGCAGGCAGACCAACTGGAGAAGTAGCACCATTCAAAAGCTTTCTGATGGGGTCTTGAAACAAAGCAGAGACATGATGACCGTTAGTGGCCACAGGTGCGAAAGCTCTCTCCAGAGCTGCTGGAAGCCCAATCTCGGGGACCGGAGAAAGTGAAGCAATATTCTCGCCACGCCAAGCAACAGCCTAGATTCCTCAACCTACAAGTAACCTCGTAAGCATGCTACTGATGCTGGACAGGTTTTCAGTGGCTGCACAATAAACAGCAACATACACATGAATGTAAATAAATAGCCAAATAATGGATCAACGCTCTCTGTCTAATATGTTCGCTAGCTGTTAGCGTTGTTGCATAGCAACCACCTCGCACTATGTTTCGTACAGAAGGCAACGGAGGGACTATTTTATCATTATTTACTAATAAAAAATAATTAAATTAGAGTGTGTATTTTTCTTTCATATTGCCACACTTGGTAACCGTTTTATAAAAGCAATAGCTCACTTCAGGCCGTGATATATGCTCATTATATCACAGCTAAGCTTAGCTGTGATATAATGAGCATACCACGGCCTGTCATGAGCTATTGCTTAATTAAAAAGTGATTTTGAACCAAAATGGCATAAAAACACATATTATTCAAATACGGGTCCTTTTTGACCCACTTATGGAAGAGTGTAGGGTCCAGTCACTCGGGCATGTAAGGGTTAAAGAAACTGTTCATCTAAATTGAAGTACTATTAGATGTAAAGGGGAATGTGAGAAAATAACTAATAAAGAATAAGAACAAAAAAAAGATTAAAAAAAATTATAGAAATTACACAATTTACAAAATACACATTCTGTATTTAGCAGCCAGGTATATATATATAGCACAGTTATTGACGGGATATATTTATATATATATATATATATATATATATATATATATATTTATATATATATATATATTGCAGTTATTGACGGCATATATTTATTTTACTTTAGGGGTGTTGTCCTGCTCCCACGCAGAGACCCTGGCGGTCCTCATGGAGTCGAGGGCTGAGCGGTCGTTGAGGAATCGGACCTCCGTGCCCTCCAGAGCCGAGGAGCGAGTGCTGTCCTGGTCCCGGTCCGTCTGAGAGTCCCTGGTGTCTCTGTGGTAAACCATCTGGCTCAGCAGGGGGTCTGAGGGGGGATTGGAGGAGGAGGACTGAAAGCTGAAGGCCTCCAGCTGAGAGGGGGGGTTTGGTGGAGGGGTGGCCTCTCTGGAAACAAACCAGATTACACAGGGGATCAGGAAGGGGATCAAGACTTAGTTCACTGTGAGCGTACAGAAGAGCTCATGTATGGGGGGTCGGAGACTGTGAGGAAGGAGGGACACATTCACTCAATATGTGGCTTTCATTCAACTATGAAACCTTTTAGAAATGTAGAACTAGAATGATTATAATAAAATGTGGATTTTAATTCTGTCACACTTCCCTCGCTAACGGGCATGAAGCAGGAAAGATTACTGATGGCACTATAAGTCAAACAAAAAAGATATCATCCACTGTTCTGATTATAACGATATTAAAATAATGAGGGATAATAACCAAGACGTGTATAACTAATATACATTTTCTATAATTGTTGGGGCAGAAGAAACAACATTTCTCTTAAAATGATCACCTTTAAATTTACAACATGTTGCTTTTATAAACACATTCAGTAAAACCAAGCCGCAGATCGTGTGTGTGTGTCGAGCCGTGTTTCTGGACATCTGGTGGATGTCTAATATTCACCTCCCTTTAGCTCCGCCCTAAGCCTTCATCAACTCTTGAGAATATATTCACATTGAGGTCCAGTAAATCTGTTACTCTGAGACCAAACTGCAGAAGGAGAAGGGACTTCTGTATCGTTGCTAACCTCTGAGCTACTGAAGTGTCTGTGAGCCTTTCAGCTGCAGACACTAAGGAGATGTCAGGAGCACACGGTGTCTGAAGGGAAACCTTTAAGAGCCTTTAAGGACTGAGTGGAAGCGCTCTCTTTGAACTGTGAACATATATGAAACTTTGCTTCATGCCACATAGGAGCTCCCTCACAAATACCCAGGGGCACGTAGGACGATGCTCCGACGTCATCACCCTCGCACATTTGTGATATATATGTTAAGACTTTTCTCGTTCTTAATATAGACTATATTTAGGGTCGATATGTGTTGACTTTACTCTAAATAGCAGATCTCTGTGACCCGAGAGGGTTTTTTTGGCCTAGTGAACGTGTGTCTCTTCCTTGGAGGAGCAGCAGGTGTGTGTCAGCGACGTGCAGTCAGGGGAGGCACGGATTGGCCATCGGGAGAGTCGGGACTTAAACGCCAACCTCCCCCCCCCCCCCCCCCCAATTCACGAGCGTCGAACTCGCCCAGCATCACTCGGAGGTCAGCAGTAATGTTATATGAACCGCCGATGGTGGGTAGGGGCGGTGATGTGACCTGCTGTCTGCGTCCCACAGCGGCTTTGTGGCTAGCACTTAGCATCCCCATAACGATGCTGTTTAGCAACCGGCGTAAACGGAGCTTCGCGCTATCAAGCAGTGAGCGTGCGATGTCCTGTTCAGATGACGTCAAACCCAACGGGATGCCATCAATAAACTACACAGAATCACACTACACACCTACGCCATGAGTACATTCAGGCACACTGTAGAATACAACCTCTTTGGACCATTCATATACTTATTGAAAACAAGATACAAAATGTAATACCTTGGAAAATGCCCTTTAATAGCCTTCATTTTCGCTAAATTGATTTATCAACTTGTAATACTTTGTAAGACCCCGCGGACCCCCTGTCATTTTGTGTTATAATGTTTTTTAACGCACGTTGTCTGATGATATAATCATATGCCCCGTCCACTAGAGTCTGTTGATCTCCAGACTAACAGCAGCATGAGAATAACCTGCAGAAAGTGCCGATGCTCCATGGCGCAGGCTCCGCTAGAAATTGCCGGGATTTGCGTTGTTACCCCCTTAATGTCTGACCAATGGTTGAAAAGCATTTCCGCGCACATGACTTGTGTTTAAAGTGTATAGTCCATTTGCCCGTGTGAACGCAAACCGAACCTTCTGAAAAGTGAAACAATGCAACAAACAGTGGTCTGGTGCGCAGCAGAGAGCGGACCAGTAGGTGTGAATGAGACCTCAGGCTGTTTGCAGAGTGCATCTGAAGCAGAGTGCGTACCTGTAGGAGGCCAGCGGCTCCCTGAACTCCACGCTGTTGTTCCTCCGCACGTTGCTGTCCTGCGTGGCGTTCCTCAGCGGGCTGCGAGAGCTGCTCTTCTCCGGACTCTGCTGACTCCGCCCCCGGCGCTTAGAAGACCCCGCGGTGACGTCAGCATGTTGTCCATCTGGGAGAGACGGCAATGTTTAAAAAGGTATTATTCAGAATCAGGATATCTTACTTGGTCCCACAGAGGGGACATGGAGAGTTGCAGGAAGGGTGAACAGCCAAAAATAGCGTTATATTAATGAATTAACATATTAAACATATATTCCTGCTGCTATACACCGTATATCGTTTACATTTGATATACGATTTCTCATTTAAATGTTTAATTGTTCACACTTTTCCACTTTTTAAGCATTAGTATTTTAATGTTGAGCACACTGGTGCTGACACTAAATCATTTCCCAGTTTAGTTAAGTATCTATCTATTAAAGATAGAATTTAAAATGTACATAAATACATATCCAGGTGGACTACAAGCAGCCGTAACAGTAGTTCTTTTTTTTTTTAAATAGGTGTAGCGTGTATTAAGTAGTGTGATAGCAGCCAGCTAACACTAGTAAAAGTATATAGTGCACAGTCATTTAGAGTTAGGATTTATTACAGTAGTTGAATTCTCTAACTACGAGATAACAGCCAGCAAAGTGTATATATATATATATATATATATACACACACTTTGCTGGCTGTTATCTCGTAGTTAGACAATTATATTGCACATAAGTGATATTGCACAACAGAGGTGATGTAACGGAGCAGGAAGGAGCGCCGGAGGAAATGTAGCATTTGATCATAAAGACGTTTGGAAATGACCCACCTCTGCAGCGCACCGTCCTGGAGGACTTCTTCTTGGGGTCCATGACCGATTCCAGGACAACACCTGAACCTGGAGCGGCTTCCAGGCGGTTTTCTATATGCCGCAACTAAAGAGGGAGAACACACATGTGAGCCTGGAGTCATCCTCATCACCATTCGATATCCCACTGACTGAATACTTACAGCAGCTTTGGACTGAGTTAAACTCTTCCATGCCGTTGTCAGCTCTGAAGGTGAGGAAGAGAACGCATGATTTATTAAGTGGTAGAAAAACCCGATGCCATAAAAGAAATGAGTGTTGGTAAATAGTTCTAACAATCCCTTTTATTGTAACTCATTCCTGAGACATGTCACACGACTTGTTTACATACACACCTGTGCCAATAGTGTGATCAGTCAGCTGCTGAGCAGACACCTCCGGCCTCCTGCTGCTCCTCATCGCTCTCATTCACCTGGAGGCAAGTTTAAAGGGAGGAACGAGGTCAAAGTCACACAGAAGTATGAAAGTATATACTGTTGTTTTCCTATATTGCATACTTTACACACAGACTGAAGACACCGGCAGTTACATTTCAGTTCTCAGGCAACCAAAGGAATAACACACACTAACAAAGAGCATCCAGCACTTTAAAGAAAGACAATTACTGTGACAAGAACCAGCTTTAAAGACAACGGTGTAAAAGCAGAGATGTGATAGAAGAACAGCATGTTCCCATTATGAACACATGCCGTTATTCTGACAGCATGTTGACATCAGATGAATGTCACCCTGTTATTTAAAACCGGTTCCACAACAGCACAGTCCTGTAAGTAAAGGGAGGTAAGCCGGACTGAAGGCATGTGATGTTTACTTAAAACACCTAGCTGCGCCTGTTGCCCTAATCCTGCTTAAGACCAACAATATGTGTGCTGTGTACATATAGTAAAGCCCCTGAGGAAAAGGAGTTATTTGTGATATTTAGATGACATTTGATCGACCATTAAGCTCGACTGCAGGAGTTACTTAGTGTTTGGAAAACCCTGAACGTCCTCTTCCAATCTGAGAGTCACATGATATCAAAGGTATCCCAACTGTAGCTGTGAACAAGTGTGAGAAAAGGTTTTTAGAGAGTACTGGTCCATGGACAAGTGAGTTTGGTGATGTACTTGTCCGAATACATTTTTCACTTGTCCAGAATGGACAAAAATTGGGGCCACTGGAATCTTCTTCTTCGTCATCGTATTTGACATTTTCCCACGGTGTTTACGACAGCGCTAACGTAGGTGAGCGGTGAGATTTTACTGCATCACACATAGGGTTGGGTATCGTTTGGATTTTAACGATTCCGGTTCTGCTTTTCGATTCCGGTTATTTTCGGTTCTCGGTTCCGGTTCTTTGAGAGGGTCAAAATAAGTAAATTATATTTATGAAAACATTAAGTCAAATCTGTATTCCTATTTACAAATCACTTCATACTGTTTAATTTCTTACAGTTATTGAATACAATTATATACAAATAATCTCTGCATTGTTTAGTTAGTTCTAAGTGGCCCAGTGTCCTCTGATGTTACACTGCAACCTGCCTGTGAGACACAGTCCAACCACACATGTCCAACACATAGGACATAACCTAATAATAATGACACATTAGATGTATAGCCTATAGGCCTAGCGCTTTTCTACAAAACTCAAAGACGCTTGCACGCTTACACATGTCCTGCAATACACATGCTGCAGCGGCCCAGCTGCTCACTGTTTGTAAAAGTAAATAAATAGTATTTTCATTTCAATAATGTACTTTCTATACCCTGCTTCATAAAACAATACTGACATCCCTGTGCTCCTCTGAGTCTGGGGGTCCGGGGATGTGAGGACAGCACGAGGACACAGACAGGGAGGCTGCTTTACTTCATAAAGGAAATGGCGTCAATATTAACAACACAGGAGCTAAAACGCTTAATAACCTTCATTACGTGTTAGAGAAAGAACATAAGAACGTTTGACAAAGATGAGGCTGTTAAACGGGCAGCGGATCTGCTGTGTGTAGAGAGAGAGAGAGAAAGAGAAAGAGAAAGAGAGAGAGCGAGAGAAAGAGAGAGAGCGAGCGAGAGCGAGAGAAAGAGAAAGAGAAAGAGAAAGAGAGAGAGAGAGAGAGAGAGCGAGAGCGAGAGAGAGAGAGAGAGAGAGAGAGAGCGAGAGCGAGAGAGGCTGAGCTGCACCATGCAGCGATCAGCTGATACGGAGGAGAGAGAGAGAGACAGAGAGAGAGAGCGAGAGCGAGAGAGACGCTGAGCTGCACCATGCAGCGATCAGCTGATACGGAGCATAGAGAGAGAGAGAGCTGCAGTCTGCGGGGCTCGGCCTCCTGTCCTCACAACTCTTATTAATCCCGGTACCGGACCATTGTTATTTGTTCCTACTCGGAACCGAGTTTTGCTTCCCAACCCGGCCACTGTGCTACACTTCCCGCCCCGCCCCCGTCTAACTGTACAGAAAGCGGCGAGATGCATTTCCTTAGGAAACGACAAGCAGAACCGAAACTAACATTTCTAAACGAACAATGGCGGACACGGACAATTTGCGAATGAGTTCTGCCTTTTGTAAACTGAATGTATCATTTGTCAATAAATGAGGGCGAAAAACGTCACTTGTCCGCCGGACAAGTCAATTGAAAGACCTACTTGTCCGATGTCGTAAAGCACACGTCCCGGACGGTGGGACGTGTGCTTTTTCGCACACTGTGTGACTTGTGGGATGACCTAGAAGAGCATCAGGACTGTTTGAGGCAGATGATAGCTCTGTGATTAACATGATGATTCAGCCTCTATGGAGAGAGACATCAAGCATGCTCATTTCTGACGTGGAGCTAATCTGAAGTAAACATTGAATACTGCTTTCTATTCCTCCATCTTGTGACTGTGTAACTCCCTCTCTTGGATATCAGCATGTGAAGGACACTGTTCAGGAACTAGTCTCTGTATGTGATGACTCCTTCCATTCTGGAGAGGGTCCTGAGACTGAAGCTCAAGCCGGGACCAGGGAGAGTTGTCTAACACTTAGGTACTGTTCTTAGAAAGGTAATGACACAATGAGGTTTTGTTCTGATTAGAGAACCCTAATCAACAAACAACAGAGGGTCAACTTTTCCACTTTAATCAGAAAACGTAGCCATGGATCTATTTGCAAACCTATCCTAGATACCTAGCTCATGATGAGTGTTTTGCATTCATATGTAACACCCTGTGAGTCACGAGGAGTTGTTAAGAAGTCATGCCTTTACTCACAACCGTCACGTGACTCAGTCCTGAGGCGAGCATGACCGGCAAGAGAGCAAACAGGAGGGAAATGACACGTGTCAGGGAGACGTATGGACTAGTGCGCTGGTGTTGGGTTCAGGGGGTCACAGGTTCAAACCCCACTGCAGTCAGCATGTCGTTGTGTCCCTGAGACTCTTCACCCCAAAGTGCTCCTGTGGGGATTGTCCACAGTGTTGAGTATGTGAGTCGCTTTGGATAAAAGCGTCTAACAAGTGACATGTGATGTAATGTGTGTATATGTCTGTGTCTTTAACAGATATTCAGAGTAACAACGCTCCCCGTTTACATGTGTGGCGGTACACTGATGGTCCTGGTTAGAACCTCAAAGCAACAGTGGCATTTTATTGTGTTACAAAACCAGCATACTTAAACACTAGTCTGGGTATTCCCTTTATCTGAATACAAATGGGACTGAGACCAATAGAGGTGGGAGTAAAAGTACTAATGATGCAACGTAAAAATACACAGTTACAAGAAAGAGTTTGGTGTTTAAGTAAAAGTATTGAAGATGTAATGTTTTTACACAAAAAAGTATTTAAACAACTTGTTAAATTGCTGCCATCTTTTTGTCAACCCATTCATTACTTAAATATTATTTTGGATAGTTTCGTCTACATCCAAACCTATTATTTTAAAAGTCCACTAAGTACTCCACTACAACCCAGAGGTACATGGTGTACTTCTACTCTACTACAACCCAGAGGTACATGGTGTACTTCTACTCCACTACAGTTCAGAGGTACATGGTGTACTTCTACTCCACTACAGTTCAGAGGTACATGGTGCACTTCTACTCCACTACAACCCAGAGGTACATGGTGTACTTCTACTCCACTACAACCCAGAGGTACATGGTGTACTTCTACCCCACTACAACCCAGGGGTACATGGTGTACTTCTACTCCACTACAACCCAGAGGTACATGGTGTACTTCTACTCCACTACAACCCAGAGGTACATGGGTGTACTTCTACCCCACTACAACCCAGAGGTACATGGTGTACTTCTACTCCACTACAACCCAGAGGTACATGGTGTATTTCTACTCCACTACAACCCAGAGGTACATGGTGTACTTCTACTCCACTACAACCCAGGGGTACATGGTGTACTTCTACTCCTCTACTGTTCAGAGGTACATGGTGTACTTCTACTCCTCTACTGTTCAGAGGTACATGGTGTACTTCTACTTCACTACAGTTCAGAGGTACATGGTGTACTTCTACTCCACTACAGTTCAGAGGTACATGGTGTACTTCTACTCCACTACAGTTCAGAGGTACATGGTGTACTTCTACTCCTCTACAGTTCAGAGGTACATGGTGTACTTCTACTCCACTACAACCCAGGGGTACATGGTGTACTTCTACTCCTCTACTGTTCAGAGGTACATGGTGTACTTCTACTCCTCTACAGTTCAGAGGTACATGGTGTACTTCTACTCCACTACAGTTCAGAGGTACATGGTGTACTTCTACTCCACTACTGTTCAGAGGTACATGGTGTACTTCTACTCCTCTACAGTTCAGAGGTACATGGTGTACTTCTACTCCACTACTGTTCAGAGGTACATGGTGTACTTCTACTCCTCTACAGTTCAGAGGTACATGGTGTACTTCTACTCCACTACAGTTCAGAGGTACATGGTGTACTTCTACTCCACTACAGCTCAGAGGTACATGGTGTACTTCTACTCCACTACTGTTCAGAAGTACATGGTGTACTTCTACTCCACTACAGTTCAGAGGTACATGGTGTACTTCTACTCCACTACAGTTCAGAGGTACATGGTGTACTTCTACTCCTCTACTGTTCAGAGGTACATGGTGTACTTTTCCTCCACTACAGCTCAGAGGTACATGGTGTACTTCTACTCCACTACAGTTCAGAGGTACATGGTGTACTTCTACTCCACTACAGTTCAGAGGTACATGGTGTACTTCTACTCCACTACAGTTCAGAGGTACATGGTGTACTTCTACTCCACTACAGTTCAGAGGTACATGGTGTACTTCTACTCCTCTACTGTTCAGAGGTACATGGTGTACTTTTCCTCCACTACAGTTAAGAGGTACATGGTGTACTTTTCCTCCACTACAGTTAAGAGGTACATGGTGTACTTTTCCTCCACTACAGTTAAGAGGTACATGGTGTACTTCTACTCCACTACAGTTCAGAGGTACATGGTGTACTTTTCCTCCACTACAGTTAAGAGGTACATGGTGTACTTTTCCTCCACTACAGTTCAGTGGTACATGGTGTACTTCTACTCCACTACAGTTCAGAGGTACATGGTGTACTTTTCCTCCACTACATGTATTAATACCTTTAGTTACTTCACAGATGTGGAGGAATGATGTGAAATCTAATCAAGTGTTGAATCAGACTTTAGTTCCACCTGGAGTAAATCCACCAGCTACCCTGCAGTATACAAAGTACTTCAAACTAGCTGCTCCTTCACCAGCTTTGAGAACACTTTCATTATCAATCATTATAAAACATATCATACAGTTGCAAGAAAAAGTATGTGAACCCTTTGGATTCTCCGCACATAGCGTTGTGTGTTTCTTCCAAACATCTCAGCGTTGGTTTCATCTGTCCACAGAATGTGTTTCCAGCAGGGCTGTGGAACATCCAGGTGCTCTTTGGCAAACTTCAAACGTGCAGCAATGTTTTTTTCTGGACAGCAGTGGCTTCCTCCGTGGTGTCCTCCCTGGTGTCCTCCCTGGTGTCCTCCCTGGTGTCCTCCCTGGTGTCCTCCCTGGTGTCCTCCCTGGTGTCCTCCCTGGTGTCCTCCCTGGTGTCCTCCCTGGTGTCCTCCGTGGTGTCCTCCGTGGCGTCCTCCCATGAACTCCATTCTTGTTCAGTGTTTTACGTATCGTAGATTCGTCAACAGAGATGTTAGCATGTGCCAGAGATTTCTTTAAGTCTCTAGCTGACACTCTAGGATTCTTCTTCACCTCATTGAGCATTCTGCGCTGTGCTCTTGCAGTCATCTTCACAGGACGGCCACTCCTAGGGAGAGTAGCAACAGTGCTGACCTTTCTCCATGTATAGACAATGTGTCTTACCGTGGACTGATGAACATCAAGGCTTTCAGAGATACTTTTGTAAACAGCTTTATGCAAGTCAACAATTCTTAATGGCAGGTCTTCTGAGAGCTCTTCTGAGCGAGGCATGGTTCACATCTGGCAATGCTTCTTAAGAATAGCTCATTCAAAACTGGTGTATTTTTTATAGGGCAGCTTTAACCAACACCTCCAGTCTCGTCTCATTGGTTGGACTCCAGGTTGGCTGACTCCTGACTCCTTAGCTCTTGAAGAAGTCTTTAGCCGAGGGGTTCACATACTTGTTCCACCCTGCACTGTGAATGTTTACATGGTGTGTTCAATACAAACATGAACACATATCATTGTTTGTGTGGTATCAGTTGAAGCAGACTGTGTTTGTGTATTGTTGTGACTTAGATGAAGATCAGAACACAGTTTATGACCAACTTATGCAGAAATCCAGGTCATTCCAAAGGGTTCACTTCCTTTTTCTTGCAACTGTATATATTATTCTGAAATGGACCAATCTGCACAACGACTACTTTCACTGTCGCTACTTTCACTATATTTTGATGAGAATACTTTTCTACTTTTACTTGAGGAACATTTTGAAAGCAGGACTTTTACTGTAACAGAGTATTCCTACACTCTGGTACTTCTACTTTTACTCAAGTACAAGATCTGAGTACTTCTACTTTTACTCAAGTACGAGACCTGAGTACTTCTACTTTTACTCAAGAACAAGATCTGAGTACTTCTACTTTTACTCAAGAACAAGATCTGAATACTTCTACTTTTACTCAAGAACAAGATCTGAGTACTTCTACTTTTACTCAAGAACAAGATCTGAGTACTTCTACTTTTACTCAAGAACAAGATCTGAGTACTTCTACTTTTACTCAAGTACAAGATCTGAGTACTTCTACTTTTACTCAAGAACAAGATCTGAATACTTCTACTTTTACTCAAGTACAAGATCTGAGTACTTCTACTTTTACTCAAGTACAAGATCTGAGTACTTCTACTTTTACTCAAGTACAAGATCTGAGTACTTCTACTTTTACTCAAGTACAAGATCTGAGTACTTCTACTTTTAATCAAGATCTGAGTACTTCTACTACAAGATCTGAGTACTTCTACTTTTACTCAAGTACAAGATGTGAGTACTTCTACTTTTACTCAAATACAAGATGTGAGTACTTCTCCCACATCTGACTACAATCCTTGAGTAAATGTACTCAGGTACTTCAACCCCCCCCACTGAAGACCAATACCTATATCCAAGAGAAGCTAAAATGATGTACTGTTAAACTACTAACGTCATACACGGAAGTAAATCTTTCCTCACTGTCAAGATAAGCTGTGGGTCAAAGTTGGGACTTGAACTGAAAACGCTAATATTAAATGAAACAACTTTCTTATTTAGTTAAAAGATGTGAGAGAGACTTACTTCCGAGGTTAGCCTCCATTACCAGCTTGTTTACAAACTCAAGTTGCCATCCAGAAAGTCTACAAACAGCTTCTTAAAGACTTCCACAGCCTAAAGGTCCTGTGTTGCTCTCGGTGTAAAACCATCCAATTCAGGCATTTAGAGCTCAGAAAGTTTGTCAACGAAAGTATTTTAAAATGTCAAACCCGTCAATAAGAAGGTGAACTCATCAGCGACCAATCGGCATAATAATAAAGGTTGTTTATAAAGGTTTAAGTAACATAAACACACTTATTGGAAAGCTATTCGGTCATTTCCATTCAATCATAAACAAGCTGTGTCGAAACCAACATGGCAACATTCTTCTTCGCTGATTGGAGCGTTATTTGGGGCTGTTTCTTGCTCAGTGCTGCCGCCTGTGGTTGAACGCTATACTATAAAAACCTCCATGCAGAATCTATGGCTGCATTATAGATCCCGACCACTGAAGACCCCTCAATGCTACTGGGTTCCCAACGCAAGATGAAGAAGAAGCACCTTGCCATCTTTGACTTTAAATGGTTTGTATTGATGTGATCCACCCTCACTGAAGTGAAGTAAATCGTGATTATATTCCTTTTACACCAACCTGACATTGCCTCTGAGAGCTCACTGAGAAGCCTACCTTCAATTCAGCAACTTCATATTGTCTATATTATTATTTTTAACACACTTAAACAGCTGGGTTCACACTGAAGCTACAGCTGGACCTGTATTGGTTGGGATATTGAAATGCTAGCTTTTAATGTTTAAAAAACAGTGATGGAAAGTCAATAAGAATATTTACTCAAGTATTGTGCTTACGTATTTTTGTTGACATTTGTACTTAAGTATTTCGTTTTAATACAACTTTATACTTTTACTGCACTACATTTCCGAGGCAATCATTTTACTTTTGTAACCACTACACTTGTTTTAAAACTCACAACAACTGTGTACTAAAACACATTACATGCTGATATGGTAAAATCATAGACAGTGTAATATACAGTCTATATATTAAATGCAGTACTGTACTACTAACCTACACAGTGGTTCAAGTATCTAAGTTAGGTTCACATTGACAAACTACAATATTAAATGCTGTTACTTGGATAAAAACAGGAGACCATAATAAAATACATTCTGCAAAACGAGTACTTTTAATACTTGAAGTACACTTATCTGATGATTCTTCTCTACTTATATTATTCTGAAATTGTGTCTGTATAATTACTTTTAGTACAATGTAATGCTAATGCTTATGTACTTGAGTAACATTTTGCATTCAGGACTTTTACTTGCAATTGAGTATTTTAAGACCATAGTATTTGTACTTTTACTGGAGTAAAGGATCTTAGTACTGTATTAAAGTGCTAGATGAATAATACATTATAAGAATACTAGATGAAACAACAACTAATGGCATTTTAACTTTCGAAGTGAAACTGGAGAAATTAACTGTGTCAAGGCTACGACTATTACTCCCTGTCCAGGAATTAGTCGCCCAATACACACAAACATAACCATGATTAATCTACTTTTAGCTGCTAACTAACAAACAGACAGTAAGTTATTGTTTTCTAAACATCTAATAAATACTAAAAACAACCTCGACTTATCAATGGTCGTTTTTAACTTCCTAATGTTGCCTAAAACATGATTCAACACATTCCTGCCTCAGACTTCAGGATGACTTATTTAACAACGTCTCGCTCCAGGGATTAGTCGGAGCCGCTAACTCCGGACAGTTGACGTTAGCCGACAGGAAAGTCATGAATTAACTTAGATGTTTTCTTCTTAAAAGAGGCAAAATACATACCTGTAATGAAAGGAACCGATGTATCTAGATGTCCAGATTCATGTTGCCGTCCTCGTGATAATAAAATCCAAACTTCATCAGACTTCTTCTTCAGTTTCAGCTGTTTGCTAACGTTAGCATTAGCCGGCTAACGTTAGCAAACCAATGTTAGCTAACTAAGATAGCAACTTTTTCTAACGACATTCATCCATTGTTGTCGTGTCGGTGTGTGTCTGTGTAACAAAGTATCCAGATCCGCTGTGAGGTCCCTAAAGAGAAACGCCGCTCCCCGCCTCTGAGGTCTCTTTCCCGGGTAACTGTGTTGATGTTTCTCAGAGAAACTGCTGGGTATCCAAGACGGGTCGGTAACCGAGACCGAAATATCGCGAGAGTTTGACCACGTCGTCAACGCTCAGAAAGCCCCACCCCGTAAAATACACACACACTGGCCCTTTCTAATTTCTCTGATTTCCCCTCCTCGACTCGTTTCCTCGTGTCTTAGATGCGAGTGGAGGAGAGAGGAGGGGAAGCTGCAGGCGGTTAGAGAAATGAGAAATCCTCCATTAATGATGACAGGAGGCACAGCAGCACTGTCTGATGGACAGAACTGTATGACTTATATATTTACTTTTAATTAATTGACAGTGCGGTATAATGAGACAATAACAGGCTACAGATGCGGACACACACACACACACATATATATTTGTATAAATATATACAATTTCAGATTCAAACAAGTTTGACAGCACTCTCATAATAAGCAGAGACTTATAGAGGAAATGAAATTACGGGCCAAAAGTTTCACTTACAAGTATTCAAAGTAAGCATAGGACACCAAACCAACTGAGACCTGTCTGTACGCCGCATCTACGCCTGTAGCCTTCAACACGCAACAACACAATGTACAACACACACCTAGCTCCTAAAGCATATCATATCAGGATACAGCCGTTGTGTATTTTATTATGTGAAGCACTAAATGGTTTTAGAAAAATATCGACTCTTTGTTTGTAGAGTAATGTAGGCAGGGCCGTCCCTCCCTAGGCCGATCATGCAGGCATTGCGCAGGGGGCCTCGGCTTGTGCGCAGTTCTCAGCGCAGTTGTCAGCGCAGTTCTCGGTGCAATATATATGTACAGGAGGAAGAGTGATAAACTGTCTGTCTAGTTGGCTTACATAACAGTTAAAGTTTACAGCCAACAAAACATGGAGCATTTTTCCCCCTTTTATTCATTTTATGTCAATTTGCACATTTCATGGTGATGCTCAGCCTCCCCCCTTAACTCCTAACAGTCATCATCATGTCAACCACAACACAGAGAAATACTGATAGAAATGTGTGAAGTTGTTGATACATTAGGCGCGTTCACACCGGAGTATTTTTCCCCGTACTTTTCCCGTTTAGTTCCGTTAGTGCCTGGAATTTTGCGTTCCCACCAAAAAGAGAACTTAGTTCCGAGAACTTTTACCCCCATTTTCAGTCCCTGCTAGAGAGGTGGTAGGCTACTATCCTGGGGAGAGAAAAGTACCAATTTCGATTGGCTGGGCGAATTGCAAACCACGCCCCCTAAAACTCTGAAAAGTTTTGTGAAGCCGCCATTGTATTTGCTGGCATTAGCATTATTAGCATTAGCCCCGCGCACCAACGGAGACAGAATAACTTATGGCAACAAAAACAAAAAAATGCAGCGGTGGAGTGAGGTGTCGGCGTTCTGGCGATTTACTCGGAAGGCTGGGAGTCCCAGCAGCTTTTACTGAAGCCAGTCCCCAACTCCGGGGACTTCCAGCCGGGGACTTCGGGTGGCAGAAAACGCCGTGAAGTTGTTTGCGGCCTGCCAGTAAACCCAAAGCAGAAGAAGAAGAAGTGACGTCAGCGGCTTCATTTGACTGAACCTCCCTCAGGGACTTATTCCGGTGTGAACGCAATCTGTACTTAGTTCCACGGGGGTACTATAAGTGCTGGCACTAGGGCACCTAACTACGGCAAAGTACTTGGTGTGAATGCGGCTATTGCTGACAGAGGGAACTACATATGAATACAGATTTAAGAAATCTCAGTTTTTGAGCATGTCATAAGCATGTTTTGTCTTGACTATATTACAACTATATTATAATAAAATAATATAGTATTTATATTATTGAATTGATTCTGATTATTAGTTTATTTGCATTAATTATATTTTAATCTTTTTGAGGCTAGTATTTGGCAGGAAATGCAGACGTATTCACCTGTTAGCGCACACTGAATGATATACATTCACTCCTGTCGGTTGGGGGGGGGCCTCATCTCACAATGTCGCTTGGGGCCCCAAGTTGGCCAGGGACGGCCCTGAATGTAGGCCGATACTGAGTGATATATATTATACACACTACTCTGCTTTCTGCACGGACCTCACAGCTGTTCTCACTGGAAACATCGATAAATACAGGATGATAATACCCCCAAAACTAATGCCTAATTTATAAAAGGTTTGATTTATTTTTAAAAAAAGGTCAAATACACAGTAGTTGGAGAACAATTCATAATTGTTAAGTAAAAGCAGCCTACCATACTGTAAAAAATATATATAGATTTTCACATAAAAACTCCATATTCAAAAACTACATCAATTGCATTGATAAAATGGATTATGCAGATAGGCCAATTTCAGAATAAGACATATCATTTTACTGGATAATAAATAATGATGCATTATAATGTATTTACATTTAATGTGGCAGCTTTTAAAGGTGGAGAAAAATGTTCTTTCAATATTCTACCAGGCACTTTAATATATAATAACACCACATGTTAAGATTTGACATTAAGTGATTTTTTTGTTTATTTCTTATTAATAATCCGAATCTGCAAAGTTATTAGTAACTACTGTCATGAATAAAATACTATTTGTATCATAAATTAATATAAATAATAATACAATACAAACAAATGCATTACATAAAAGCAATCTTGATTGTAAAACATGTTTTTGAAAGTTTAAAGGGCCTTGAATAGTAGAAGTAGAATCTTTTTGCAAATAATTTAGTTTTTTCTTAAAGATCCAACCGATAAAATAGACTAGAGTCCTTGCCTGTAACTAAATGATTTCAGACAGAGTACGGATTATTTTCTCCACCAATACTCAACATTTCCCCACTCAGTATTTGTTTTAATGATATTAAATTATACAAACAAATAATTAAATGGTGCAAAAGTAAACAAAATAAACCCAACAATTTGACCAAAAACACCTTAATTCCTTGAGGGACCACTTTTTTCTTCTTCTGTGTGTGCTGTTCATAATGACCTTGGTTTTGAATTATTGTAATAAAAACTGTTTTTGTGTCTTTTTTCTGATTCAGTATTGGTTCAATAAAGTACGAAAAACTGCGTCTCTATCAATACGTTTTCTATGCATGTACTGCCCCCTACCGGCCTAGTTGTGTATCACACTCGCATCCAAACTGCATTGTTTCCCCCATTACCTTGCACTACACGCTCCAGTCATTCAAAAATGAATTACCACAGCCCACTAACCCCGACTCCAGTTCATTTTTCATCACAAGAGAATTGCTTCAATTTGTTCATGTGACTGACTTTTATTACCAGTCCCTATGGCAACAAATGGACTGCACATAGTAAAATGAAAAACGGGAGAAATATTTCAGAGATTCAGGATGTGTGCTCACTGTTAAACAGATAAGTCATAAATATATATCATATGTAGGTTTCCGGGTTATGCTGGATTGTTGATGTGCAGAAAGCAACAAGTAGGTTAGAACTCACGTGGAGCTACACGCCAGCGTACATTTAATTTCATTAACATTTCAAAAAAGGCATACAAAAGAGGGTTACATTGTGTTTTCTGGAGTCTTTTCAATTAGAGATGTTGTAACTGGCAACTGCTCCAATTCCCCTGACTCCCCTCCGGATAATAACCTCTCTTTCTCCCCCTCCCCTCCTTTTCTTTCGGCACTTGCAGGGGGATGTAACCCCGGAGACGTTTTTCTATCTGCTGACACATTTCCTTCTTCTGTGGAAAGGTGACCGACATGGAAAGGAGTTCTCTCTTTTTAGGTAAGAAACAGAGCGTGATTTCTCTTTTTTCCAACAGGTGCATTGAGCTATCATGGCTTCTGTCGCAAACAGGGTGGTGTGTGTGTGTGTGTGTGTGTGTGTGTGTGTGTGTGTGTGTGTGTGTGTGTGTGTGTGTGTGTGTGTGTGTGTGTGTGTGTGTGTGTGTGTGTGTGTGTGTGTGTGTGTGTGTGTGTGTGTGTGTGTGTGTGTGTGGTGTGTGTGAACAGTGTGCAGAGTCTTGAGAAGATTGTATGTGACTTGAAACACGTAAGTCTGCAGTTTTGCTTTTTTTTTAAACTGTAAAAATTAACAGTTTTTGTGGCAAACTTGTTTTTGCCTTTAAGACAAGGAAGAGGGCATACATCTTATTTTACTTTTCTTAAGGCAACTGTATTTATATTCCACGAACCTTGCCTTGTTGTATGCATAATATTTGTTTGCTCTTGCTCTATTTCTATTGTTGTAAGTCTTTAAATATATATGTGTGTTGCTTTGTATGTGGAGCCGAGGACTTCAGATGCTCCTTGTCAAAACGACACTGAAGCCAAGCCGTGCATATGACAATACAACCTTTGATGTAACCTGTACATTAAACCAAATGAGCAGTGTGCAAAGACAATGCTCTTTACTTTGACCAGTGCAATGAGACATGATTAGACTTGAATTCAGTGTGTTGCTCAGAGCGGATGTCAGAGGAGGCAGACATGAAGTAGATACATGAAATACGTTCAATATAATGGTAAATGTGGAGAAGGAATGCACCTTTATTGGATCTGAGATGTTGGGAAAGGCAGCGATCATTACTCCAAGGAGGGACTAATTAATGAAAGATGGAAACAATGGAGACTACATTTGCTGCAGGGAATAAGAGAGGAAGTGTGTGTGTGTGTGTGTGTGTGTGTGTGTGTGTGTGTGTGACAAGTTGTTGATGAGGTTTTAGATTATAAGATGTCACGATTTGATTGTATCATCCATCTTCTTGTTTTCTATTATGTCTTATATTTGAAAGACGCAGGTGGTGATGTTTTTAGATCAACTAATCCATCAGACGTAGAATAATTTTTTTTGTCAAGTCATGGGAGTTTGACGGTGAAAAGAAGAGGCAGTTTGTATAATCAGTGTTTGTGTTGTGGCTGAAACACTGCAGTCTCTGTTTCTCCTGAGGTGCTGTCGAATGTAACAACACCCCGTTACCTCTTAAAGGTCCCCTGTTACACTGTGTCTCATCAATATCTCACAGGTCTCAGATATATACAGAACCTGTCTCTGATTGGCTGAAACACCAAACAGATCATGTCAGATTACCCATAATCCCC